CCCTGCTCTTGGGTGCTGGCACTGAGGCTCATCAGCAGATGCACACACTGGAAGTCGGGAGCCCTGCTCTTGGGTCCTGGCACTGAGGCTCATCAGCAGACGCACACACTGGAAGTCAGGAGCCCTGCTCTTGGGTCCTGGCACTGAGGCTCATCAGCAGATGCACACACTGGAAGTCGGGAGCCCTGCTCTTGGGTGCTGGCACTGAGGCTCATCAGCAGACGCACACACTGGAAGTCGGGAGCCCTGCTCTTGGGTGCTGGCACTGAGGCTCATCAGCAGACGCACACACTGGAAGTCGGGAGCCCTGCTCTTGGGTCCTGGCACTGAGGCTCATCAGCAGACGCACACACTGGAAGTCGGGAGCCCTGCTCTTGGGTCCTGGCACTGAGGCTCATCAGCAGACGCACACACTGGAAGTCGGGAGCCCTGCTCTTGGGTGCTGGCACTGAGGCTCATCAGCGATGTGGCTTTAAACAAACCATTTGCTTTTTTCTGAGCAATAATATTCCATGTGTAATAAATGGATACAGTTAGAGTTATTAGGCATTCACTAAAGATCTTTTCCCATTTTAAAACCTTTCTCTCATTTAATTCTAAGTTTCTGGCTTATGCAACTTGTGTTTCAGGCACACCATAGCTTAGTCATCAATTATTTTGATAAAATGTTCTCCCTTCCTCTTTAACCTAGCTGTTTAGTTTATTTACTTTTTTCCCCCATTTATGCGGTGGTACCTTGTAAACTGAGGGTGGTTTTATTCTCTCTTCACTTTTCTGTGTTTAAATGCCCTTTTTATTACTAGGGCTCTGTTTGCCCAAATGCATTGTTTCCTGTGTTGTGTAATTCTCAGTACTTTAGATTTGCCACTCCTTGCTGAAATTCAGAATAAAGACTGGCAAGCTCTTTTCCCCCTGATATTTTATTTCATAGCTAAGGAACTACAGAAAAATAATTTTAAAATTGATTCATTAAAAATCTTTGAAAGACGAAACTTTCTCAAATGGGTAATAAGAAGGGAGATTTTTAGGAAGAATATATGCTATGCTGAATGTGAATCTTGATCTTTCTGTGGGATAGTTTTGTCCTGGGCTTTTGGGAATGGTGCAGGAAGTGACCCCACCCAATTGGTGGTCTGCTTGAATTACATTCGTCAATGTAGGCTCCATGCATTCAGTTGTGGATTGTGAACATTTGGAAACCAGTATTTTTTTCTCTCTGAATTGCCTTCTGTTTAGACAGGGCTCTTAATAAAACCAGCAGCTAAACCAAGGAAAATACTCTCATTTTTAGAATGGAGGAGCCATACGACTTAATGAATTAAAGTATGTAATGCAGGCCAAGTAATTCAAACCCACCCATGGTAAAAAGAGTTCTCCAACCCGGTTCCAGCTCCTCTAAGTGATTGCTAGGTCCCCTTGTTCGGCCCTGTCTTTCGGATCTCAGATTCAGCTTCCCCCTCTTTTTTTCTTTGAGACAGGATCTGACTCTGTCATCAAGGCTGGAGTGCAGTGGCATGATCATAGCTCACTGCAACTTCTGCCTCCCAGACTTAAGCCATCCTCCCACCTCAGCCTCCTGAATAGCTGGGACTACAGGTGCATGCCACCACATCCAGCTAATTTTTGTATTTTTGTAGAAATGGGGGTCTTACTTTGCTTCCCAGTTGATTTCCAACTCCTGGACTCAAGTGATCCGCCTGCCTCGGGCTCCCAAAGTGCTAAGTGCTGGGATTACAAGCGTGAGCCACGGTGCTGGCCAGCTTCCCCAGATTCAAGAGTTAGGTTTGTTACAGTGCCTATGAGCTGCTGTCAGGCAAAGTCTGCCCTCCCCCTGCTTCTTTGAGGTGGGTAAATGTTTCATTCAGTAGTGGGGAGGGCACCGGCTATTCTAGTCCTCTCTGCAGGGCCATGTTCCTGGGGGCATTTGGAGACTGAGTGAATGTGCCCAGGAGCAGCCAACTGCTGGGCCCCACAGCCTTGGTGTTTGTGCAGGAGAAGTCCTTCCTGGGAACACGGGAGACTGGAGGTCACCTTTACCCCCTCCCAGGTCCCTCCACCCTCTCCCAGGTTCCTCACCCTGCATTTCCTGGACTTGTCAGTGGAGGGAGGGCGTATGCCCAGGGCTTCTTGGGGATATTTTTGTGTGTGGGGGGGGAAACCCCTTGCCTCTCTCTGCGCCTGCCTCCCTTCCCATAGCTTTGTGGTGCAGGCTGTCCTGCCATCTCAGGTCTAGGCAAGCAAAATCAGGTTGTATTTTTAAGTGTTTTAGGTATGAGTGTGGTAGGATAACCCTCTGTACGTATTCTTTGGGGAAGAAAGGCCCGTACGTGAACATTTAGAAGATGGATTAGGAAGGAACCTAACCGTGCCCTCTTGACATGTATCTGAAGGAGTCAGGTTAAAATCGCAGTGGTGCCCTTAACTCACAGGAAGAGCATTCACAGGAGTGAAAACAGTGGAAAGCGTGCCTGTGGCCCAGGCCGTGGAAGTGCAGAATGTGAAACTGTCTAACCCAGTAACACCCACTAGCCGTCCTAGACTAGAGTTGCCAGGCCCCGTAACTGCCCTCAAGGTATGTGTGGCAGGGGTCAGTAGATGGTGGAAGGATTAGAACTGGTTCCTGCTCTATCTCAAAGAATTAATGACACAGTCACAGAAGTTTCTGGGAGGCTGGGCCACGGCCTGCTGTCTGATTTGGACTGGGTTATGGGAGCCAGTCAGGGGCCCCCATTGTTTGATTCCTTGCCCTAGAGCATCCTGAGAAGGCAGGTTAGACCTGGGGTTCCCGAAACGTGAAAGTCAGCAATGGTACCCGCTCCCAGTGCGTCCCAGGCCCTGACTCTCATGGGGCAGTCCCAGCTTGGGGAGGTGGAGGCTGGCCTGAAAACAGTGCTTCATGCTGCCTGGAACAGGGGGGCCATTCAGGGCTTCCCCTTGTTGGCCTTTGGCCTGGGCCAGGAGTGGGGTACCCTCAGCTCCCAGTGAGGCTGTTGCCACCTCAGAAAGCCCAGGTCCTGCTCCGGACATAGAGCACACAAGCCCAGTTTGGGAGGAGGTTGAGAAAGGCACTGCAGTTCTCAAATCTCCCATTTTTTTGAGGCCTCGTCATAAAGAGACCTTGAGACTGCTTTAAAAGATGAAAGATTCCTACATAATTCCTATTCATGTCAGAAATGTATGAGGCTGAACTGGTATGTCTTGCACTATAGTTTCCTTCAGCTCATGAGGTCTGAATTTCCTTTGTATGTTTCATTTTTTCAAGAGTTACAATTGGGCGTTTAGCCTCCGGAGTCAGTGGATGGATCTGCTTTTTGCCAGACTATTCACATTTAATGTGTAACTGTTTGTTTCAGCTGAGACGTTTTGATCCTTCTTGACATTGTGCTCTTTGATGAAGAATTTATTATTAATTCGTATTATTTCTGCTATTAGGCAATTTGATGCAGGATTTGTTTGCCGCTTTGCACAAGTCTCACTCCCAGCCCTGCTGCAAGATTCTGCAGGGAACAAGCAAGTTCCTTTTGTCACTGGGCTGGTTTCTGGCAGGTCTAGCAGTTGTCCTTATAGTAACAGGACGAGGCAGGAGAACTGATTTTGCCCTGGATGGAAGAGGAGTAACTCAGCTGACATTCGGTTGTCATTTAGCAGACGGTTAATGGCCACTTACTGGAAAATGTTACTAGGCTCTGTGGTGAGTGTTGTTAGAAACTGAATTACTATGTATGTTTCCCCAGGGCCCTTTTTCCCCTTGCCTGGAGTGGACACTCGGAGCTGCAGGAAGTGGCACTGTGTTGCAATCATAGTTTCATTGTTCCTTTGTACTTTGCTTTCAAAAATAATGAAATTGCTTTTAATGGTACCAGAGATTTGCCAGGAGCCCATGGGGGTTGTACAGGGGTCTCTGCGTTATTTGTTGGGTAGCTCTGGCCTGAGGGTGCCCAGGGGTGGCCTGTGGAAGGTCTCCAGCAATGTCAGCCTCACATGTGATTAATTTGAGTCATTCTGAACTTGACTTTCCATGAAATGATTTCAGACACCCAGTCACTTTCCTGGGTTTTTTTAGTCACTCACTTTGCAGAACCTTTGGAGGGCCACAGAAGTGAAGGAATGTGTTTCTAAGTCCAAGCTGGGGTAGAATCCTGGCTTTGCCATTTACTAGCTGTGTGACCTTAGACAATTCACTTAACCTCTCTGAGCCTCAATATTCTTACCTGTTAACAAATGGGGATATGGGTTCCCAGGGATGGCAGACCAGTGAAATGATATGTGTGGAGACAGCTGGCACAGTGCCTGGAGCATGCTACACACTTGCAAAAGCTTCCTCCCTCTCTTCCTTGCCAGCCTAACTCTGCAGCAATGGAATGCCCCTATTTGTTGGGTAGCAGACGTGTGAGCTGACGGAATAGAGGAGAAGAGCTTGTCTATTAGTTTTCTTTCCACCTGAGGGATCTTCCCCTTTTCCTTCCACACAGCACTAGGGTAACTGAATACCAGAGGAGTCCCTTCTTCTTGCGGTCCTCTGCGGACAACTTGTTTCTTTCTGGATGGTAGGAGGCATCCAAAGCCTTTTTTGGGGAGGTTTGGTCTTCCAGGAGACCGCACACTAGGATGGCCACATCATTTCATTTCTGGGTCATGTTTTCAGCTCCTCGGGCCTGCTAGGGATCTCTGTCCCTTCTGAAGTAAGTGAAATAATTGTCACCAGCCTCCCACTTAATGACTGTGGCTACTGCTCCTCTTTCCCGCACATGAGGGGAGGAAGTCAGCTGGGGCACTGGGCAGCCTCCCTACCCGATGGCACCAGAGCCTGGATTTTTGAGGTCTGGTGGATTCCTGAGCCTTCCCTTCCTCACCCCGATCTGGACAGTGTCCCTGGGCCTGGCCGGCTGCAGAACTTGTGGGAAGTGGCCGGGTGGCTCTGCTGGCTCTGCTGGCTCCACACACGGCTGGCACACACTGACATGGCTGTGCTTTGCTTCTCTCTCCTTCCTTCCCCCTAGAGTATAAGAAGAAGTACGGAGAGGAACACGGCTCCTGCCAGGCTGGGATAGCGGGCTTCTTCACCGAGGTGGGTGTCTGCTGTCTGGGCACTTCTTTTCTCTTTTGGGTGTTCATTTGCTTGCTTACGTGATTTTAGCAACCCTTAGAGGTGGGACTTCTGGAGTCCTGGATACGTGAGCCTCGAGGGAGCAGATTCTGGACCTCACACCAGAGGAGGCTATTTCAACCTGCCAGGAGGGCACCAGCTGACCAGAGACCCCTGGGCAGAGGAAGTGGGCTGGCTCATCTGGAGGCTATCCCCATTTGATGATTTCTATAGGAGTCCACTTGACTCTGAGACCTGGGGAAGGAGTCGATTTGGGGATGTGTGAGGGAGATGACATTCAGTCAGGTTGTGCCCCATTCTTGGTGGCTGTGCAGATACATGAAGCACGTGAGCATCTCCTCCTAGCAGCCCTCTCTCCTTTCCTTAGTGGAGCGACTTGGTGTTTTTTCTTTTCTGGTTTTTTTTTTTTGAGATGGAGTTTTGCTCTGTCACCCAGGCTGGAGTGCAGTGGTGTGATCTCAGCTCACTACAACCTCCGCCTCCTGGGTTGAAGTGATTCTCCTGCCTCAGCCTTCTGATAACAGGCGCCCACCATTGTGCCCAGCTAATTTTTGTATTTTTAGTAGAGATGGGGTTTTGCCATGTTGGCCAGGCTGATCTCAAATTCCTGACCTCAGGTGATCTGCCTGCCTTAGCCTCCCAAAGTGCTGGGATTATAGGTGTGAGCCACTGTGCCTGGCCTGAGAGACTTGGTTTTACACTCAGCTCTAACCATTTCCTTCCCCAGATTCTGAAGGGCAGGGCACTTGCCTGATGCTTATAAGCCCGTGCCGTAGTAGCATGACTTTTGGCTGGTAGCACATGTTTTTATTATACTTTAAGTTTTGGGTACATGTGCAGAACGCGCAGGATTGTTACATAGGTATACACATGCCATGGTGGCTTGCTGCATCCATCCCCCTGTCATCTACATTAGGTATTTCTCCTAATGCTATCCCTTCCCTATCCCCCATCCCCTGCTATTCCTACCGTAGTCCCCCACCCCCAGACAGGCCCCAGTGTCCATGTGTTCTCATTGTTCAACACCTTCCTATGAGTGAGAACATGCGGTGTTTGCTTTTCTGTTCTTGTGTCAGTTTGCTGAGAATGATGGTTTCTAGCTTCATCCATGAAGGTCACAAACTCATCCTTTTTTATGGCTGCATAGTATTCCATGGTGTATATGTGCTTTTTAGGGGCTGTTTTCTTGTGTCATTTTTACTTACTGTAAGTTTGCCCTTCATGTCAATTCCTCCTCTCTCACTTTCGTGACTACCTGCTGGCACTGTCATCCACGTGGTTGTTCAGGCCAAAACCAGAGCACTTTAGTTTACTCCTAATTCATCTGCAGTCCTGTTGTAGCCTCCAAAACACATCCCAAGCATGACAGCTTTTATTACCATCACAGTCACCTCCGTTATCACCATCATGCTTCTAGAAAGGCCACCACCATCATCTGGAGGTCCACTGGCCCTATATTGGTCTTCATATATCTATTATACTTTCTAAAAAATTGTGGTAAAATCCACATCACATAAAAGTCGCCACTTTAAAGTGTAGTTCAGTGGCATCTGTGTGTTCATGGTGTTGTGCCCCTCACCACAAGCTAGGTGAGAACACTTTATCAGCCAGCCTGCATCCGTTCCGACCTCTGGGGTGTGCTTTCTGCATACCAGCCTGAGGGGCCTTCAGATGAAACTTGTCCTTCTGACTCTGAGACTTCCCTGTCCATGGAGGACTAGAATCTGAAGCTTCTCATCCTGGCCCATGGTCTTGGCTCCCTGAGGCTGCCTCTCTCCTTCCCTCACTCCAGGACAGCAGAGAGCTGGGGGAGGGCATGGGGCATGGCAGGTGGAAGGAAGACAAAGGGCGCTCTCTGGCTTCCAAAGTGAGGGCCCCTCCTGAGTCAGGAGCAAGACTGCCCACCTGAATTTCAGAAACTGCTGTTTAAATCCAGAGAGAAGATAGACTGTTGGCAACATAGTGTCTGATCCAGAAAGCAACAGAGAAAAGGCAGAAAGTCGGAGGTTTTATTATTTTCACTCTCAAACCAATAAATAGGAGATGCTGCCCTCCAACCCCCATTCCGCACCCTCAGTGATTCTTACTTAGCTGGAGAATCACTTCATGACAGAGTTCTATGCCCTGGGAATGGCACCACCAATCATCGTAGCTGTTGAGGCCAAATTTAAAGATTCCTCTTTCACCTCACTCTCCTGCTTCTAAGCCACCTTGCAAGTCTCACCTCCTGTACCCTCCAAACCTCTAACAATGACATCCATTGCTCTCCACATCCTCCGCCACCCCACAAATCTAAGCCACAGCTTTCTTTCCCCCAACCCACTGTGGAACCCTTCTGCCATCCTGCTTCCACCCCCGCCTCTGGACAGACTGGTCCCCACACAGCAGCCAGAACTACCTTTTACAAACTGGAAAAATATCATGGTGCTCCCTTGCTCAGAGCTTTCTGGTGTCTTCACATCCCACTTAGAATGAAATCCACGTGCCTTCCCTCAGCCTCGCAGCCTTTCTGCCTTTCCAGGCCTGTCTCATGCCTCGCGCTCTGCATGGTACTTTCGTCTGCTGTTACGACATGCTGGGCTCCCACTGAAGGCTTTGCACTGGGGATCCATGCACGTGGCTCCTCGTACACAAGTGTTTCTTCAGAAGAGATGCTACTGGGGGAACTGCTGGGCCAAATGGCGCTCACGTTTGAATTTTGATACATGCGGGCAGATTGCACTTGAGACGTGTTTACCAGTTGACGCTCCCCTGCGTCGCGTCTGTCTCTATCTTCTCACGCAGACTTCCAATTTTAGTCATGAGAAAACATCTCGTTTTCATGTCACTTTCCCTGCTTATTCATGTCGTTTAGTGCCCTTTTGAAACACCATTTGTACTTGTTTCCCGGAAATTGCTTGCTTATGTTCTCAGTACCTTATTCTGTTTCGCTGTTTCCTGGTTTTTAGGAACTTGTTTCATATTTTCAACGCTAATCTCTTACCTGATGTGCGTGTTGCAGATGTTTTCATCAGCCCTTTTCTTTTAAGTTCGCCCATGGTGTCTTCATCATCCTGGCAGTAGACATGCGCGTTTGTCCAAATCTATCAGTCTCTGTGTTTCTTTTTTCCCTAGATTCTAAATGTCTCTCTTAGGAAGGTTATTCCTTATACATATTTTCAATATACTTACATTTCTAATAGCACTTTGGTAGGTTGTTTTTAAAAAGACTTCTATCTTTAATCTTTCTGGAATTTGTGTTGTATACATTGTATGGTAGAAACTAACTGCATTATTTTTCCAAATATATCATTGGTTCTTCTGATACTGGTTTGTTAAACAGATTTTCCTCTCCCCATTGAGATGCCATCCGGCCACGTGCCGACTTCACTCTCTTCTTCCATCTCTGTAAACATCTAGGTTGTGTAACAGCTATGGTTGTCATTCCTCCTACGGGCCTGTCTAGTAACGTGTGACTTGAGCCAACAGGTGTTAGGGAGCCACTGTAAGTTCATGGGCAGGTGACACACGGGCAGATGGCAGTGTTGAAAGAAAGGCTACAGAGGTGGGTTTGCCCAGATCTTTGGGAGTGGAAGGGCCTGGGAGGAAGCCAGGTAGGAGGCCGTGATGTGGTCCATCCATGAAACAACAGGACAGGTTAAGGGATGCTTAAGGAATAAAAATGATTGGGGGAGGCAGAGGATATGAAGGAGGTGTCAAGGGGCTGAGTGGCCAGGGCGCTGTGGGGTAGAGGAAGGAGGGTTTGAGCCAGGCTTCTGGAGAATGGTGGTGCCCACACGAAAAGGAGTTGCCTGAGAGAGAACCCACTGGGAGATGTGAACTGCTGAGTCTGCTTTCAGACACATGGAGTGTGCGATGCTTTTAGAGGACGTTTGGACTTAGGGACGGGAAGAAATTTAGGTTTGGCCCTTGTTCGTGACTCTCTTAGGGGATGAGTGTGCTTAGTGTGGGGCCTGGGGGAAATGCCTCTCTTTAGATGGGAGGAGAAGCCAGATTGATGGGAGACATCAGAACTCAACAGAGATGTTGACAGAGAGCCAAGAGAGAAAGTGTTGCCAGGAGGGAAGTGTCATGTTCGCTGCAGCAGCTGGCAAGTCAGGCCGTGGGCTGGGTGGTGGCAGGCAGTGGTCGGAGGAGCCGGCGGGGCAGGGGTGTCGGGGGAAGTCCAGGTGGCGGTGCAAGCTCAGGGTGACCAGAAGAACAGAAGACCTGGTGAAATCCAGGCTATGGGATTGACAGCCTGAGGGAAGCATGGGGTGTCAGCATGTGCTGGCTGTGCTCATCATGCAGCAGAGTGGGGACATGGTGGGTGTACAGAGTGGCCGGGGAGGGCGGGCAGCAGTGAGTGGGAAGGCAGACCTTCTGGGCGCCACTCTGTCCTCTGACCCCGGCCTGCTGTCTTCTGGCCACTTTAGACTTTGGCCTCCACTTCGGTTTCCAGGCTTTTGGCCTCCTTAAACGGGAGGTCTTTGAACTCCCTGCCTGCCTTGTTTCTGTAACTTCAGCTGTTTGTGGCTGAGCAGGAAGTGTGGTTGAAGGGGCCAAGCCAGCGTGGCTCCCCTCCTCTGCCCTCCTGCTGACCTTGTCACTTGGGCTTTCCTTCTGTGAGCTGATGTCCCCTCAGGGCAGAAACCACTTCCCACGCTGGACATGCATCTGTGACCTTCTGGACATAGCTATGTGGCCCCAAAATATTTTGGCCTAAGGTACCTGCTTGACCTACAGGTTGGTGACTCTGAGCTTATCAGAGCCCTCCGAGCTGTGGACACCACCTGAGTTTTAGCCATCATTCAGGATTAGAGAGAATTTCCTGGGAACTATTTTTGTAGATGAGGCTAACAGGTGGTAGATACTGCTTAGCAGCAAGAGAGGATTTGGACCAACTGGTCTGGCGTTTGCGTCTGCTGTGGAAGCCTGGACACACTTGAGTGGGAGTTTGTTCAGCGCAGACTTATGTTAGATCCGGGCACTGTCCTGCCCAGCTGCTCATGCCAACTTACAGTACACAGAGGAAGTGTTTGGCTTCTCCCAGGCACTGCCAGATGCCCCAGTTTCTTTAGGGATTCTGCTAATAAATGCATCTTGGGAAAAAGCTGCATTGCTCATTGAAGGGATTCTACCAGTGTGATTAGGTAGGGGCGGCCTTTGCTTGTAGGGAAGCTTTCATCTGTGTGTGTGGCATTGACATTGGCTGTTCCTGGGTGGTGAGGAGCTAAGAATTGGTCACTTTTTCCTAGCACTTGTGAACAGCACCAGAAAAATCACAAGTATCATCCATAGTGAACAGAAAAAAGCCACTATGTGGGATTTCCAGGAAGGCGCTGTTCCGTCCCTTCAGCCTCGGCCCTGAGGGTCGCAGGCTTGGCCGTGTTCTATTTAGTTTGGACTGAAGGGAGAGGGACGTGAGCACTGTGGGGGTGGGGGAGTGGTAAAAACAAGAGTTGTTGGTTTTAAAGGTTTTTGAAGAGAGGACATTTCCCTGCTTGTAATGTCTAAGAGGGGTTGCAGCGGTATGGTAGCCATACATTTCTCAACTTTTATCCTGGCTAGTCTAAATCATCAGAAAGCAACATATCCCATCTGCAGCCCCAATGTCCCAAGGAGCCTTTCAGGCCTGTGCCGGCGCTCAAAGCTTTGGCTTGTGCAAAGCTGCAGGTGGAGAAAGCCCTGCACTGCGGATACGTCTGGGCTGAGGAGGTTGCTCATTAGGTTCTTCAGTGCCCTTTGTATTATATTTGGACACTGATTACAAATTCCTTTCCAAGCTCAAGACTGGGAAAAAAGTCTCTCTCCTCTGATGAACTGATCATTTGTGTTTCTCATACCCTTTCTAGAACTAGGCCAGTCTCTTAGGCAGGACAAATGAGCGTAAGGAGAATCAACAGCGGATGCTCTGCTGTGTTTCCCAGTGGAGACTGCTGACTGCAGAAAGCCATCGATTTCTATAAAACAGCGAGATACCCCGGGAGCATCTGGCTTACCATCAGCAGCTTCCTTTGATGGGGGTTAGGAGCTCAAAACCCTAAAATGAAGTGCTCATCAACAGTCATTTCTTGTCTATACCATCCCGAATTATCAAAAAGCAAACCACTCTGGCCAGAATCTAGTAGTTTTTCTTCCATCTGTGTTCCTGTTCTACCCTTTGTTGAGGCTTTTCCCCAAATTAACCATAAAACATATTGTTTAAAGAATTGCTCTCTTGCCTGCAGACTCTATCCTCCTCTCTCTAATGTTTTCTTTAGCTACTTCTGGCTTTTGCAGACACTTGCTCCCTGAGAATTCCCTGGTGACTTTATGAATTGTCATCAGAAATTCTAAATCTCTGTGGCAGGATCTAGCCTCCAAGGACTTGTCCGAAGCCAGCAGCTTCTGCCAGTGCATGGGGTTGTGTCTGCAGAGGGAGATTAACCGGGAAAGATCTGTTTCTGAAATATATGTGGGTGGCCAAGGGATGGGAGGGCAGGGGGACTGTGAAGGCCCAGGGGAGGGTCAGGTTGGTTCCAGCAGCGAGAGGCTCGCCCTGCAGAGCATCTGTTATCTCCATGAGCCTTCATGACTGGCATCTTGGGAGTTTTGTCTATAGCTGAAGGGTTTCCTCTAGAAATTATGCTTATTTGAATCCTTTTGTATAGAATTTTTTCCTGAAATACCTTGTACATTACCATGCTGTCTTACCCCGAGAATGATCTGCAAAGGGACTTATTCAAATTTGTATCTAGTGTGAACTCTGAGATATATTAGGTGCTCAATAAATATTGTTGGGTGAAAAACTGATAATTTCATTAGAAAAATAATTCTGATTATTTCTTATTGCAGTGTCGATACTTTAGAAAATATAGGTAATCAAACAGTAGGGATTTCCTGTTGGGGAAAGGAAGGACTCGACGGCAGGGAGCTCTGATGGATACGGGCAGAGCCTGCCTTCCAGCTCTACCACAGCCTCTGCACAGTGGGAGCTTCATTTTGATGCTTGTAAAATGTCATCTCATGAGCAGGTTTTGTGTTTTTATGAGATGACTTCTTGTTCGTGTTTTTAAATAAATTGAAATTGTTCTGGAATTTTAAAAAATCAAGCTTATTTAAAAAATTCAATATATACAATAGAACACACTATTATAAATGCAGCTAGGTGAGTTCTGACACATGTGTATGCCATGTCGTGTCTGCCTGAATGAAGATGAGACCATTTCCATCACTTTGGAAACTTCCTCATGCCCCTTTGTAGATAGTGCTCCTCTACTTTTTTTTTTTTTTTTTTTTTTGAGATGGAGTCTTACACTGTCACCTAGGCTGTAGTGCAGTGGCATGATCTTGGCTCACGGCAATCTCCGCCTCCTGGGTTCAAGCAATTCTCCCCCTTCAGCCTCCTGAGTAGCTGGGACTATATGCGTGCACCGCCACACCCAGCTAATTTTTTTGTGTTTTTAGTAGAGACGGGGTTTCACCATGTTGGCCCGGATGGTCTTGATCTTCTGACCTTGTGATTTGCCCACCCTGGCCTCCCAAAGTGCTGGGATTACAGGTGTGAGCCACCGCGCCCGGCCGTGTTCCTCCTCTTTACTCCAGGCACCCACCGATCTGACTTCATCACTGTGGATTTGTTTTGCTGATTCAATAACTTCCTATGAATGGAGTCATGATATGTACTCTTTTTATCCCCATCAACATTTGATCTAGGATTCACCCACATTTCAACTGAGTTTTGAATACTGCAAAAGGGTTACACTAGCAGAGGAAGTGTGGGGGCATTGCACAGATGAAGATAAAAAGAGCAGAGGGAGCTTGAGAGACCAGAATGAGTTTAGAGTGTCCCAGGCATGCAGTCTGAGGGGGCAGTCGCAGGAGCCTACTGTGGCTGAAAGGGTGGACAGTGTTGAATTTTGCCTGAGCCCTGCAGTCTTGGAAAACAGTCTGGTCTAGAATTTTGAAAGATACAAAGGAAATAAACTTGGGGAATGAGAGAGAACAGGGGATGTTGATTGATTCCCATTATCTTATTGCCCAGGGGAAAACCCCAGCAGATATCTGTGCTGACTTCCTTGGGTAACCAAATCATTTCGGGGAACTTAGGGTTATCATCAGCACTGGTGATGGTTCTGGGGCACGAACATGCTCTCAGGCCTGCTGACCATTGCCCCCGATCTAAATGCTGAAGACAGCTGTGCCTCTTATGTTCTTGAGTCTGTTTGTCTGTTTTTTGTTTTTTTTTTTTGAGACAGAATCTTGCTCTGTCGCCGGGCTGGAGTGTGTGGCATGGTCTTGGCTCACTGCAACCTCTGCTTCCTGGGTTCAAGTGATTTTCCTGCTTCAGCCTCCCAAGTAGCTGGGATTACAGGCATGAGCCACTATGCCCAGCTAAGTTTTGTATTTTTAGTAGAGACGGGGTTTCACCACATTGAGTGGGCTGGTTTTGAACTCCTGACCTCAAATGATCCCCTCCTCCTCAGCCTCCCAAAGTGCTGGGATTATAGGTGTGAGCCACCATGCCCGGCCTTGAGTCTGCTTTTAACAGTGATCCTGTCTCTTGCTGCCCATGGTCTCTACTTCCAGTTGGTGTCCTTCCTTAGTTGACCTCTCTGGTTTCTCAATTTTGTTCTTCCAGGTTTGCAGTGGGCCATAATGATCAGAAAACTCTGTTCTAAAATGTCCCTGAGAAGGTCTTGAGTGTGTTCCAGAGGGGACTCCCCGGAGTACTAGTGCATAGTTTCCTCTTGCTGCATATCAGGTTGGGGGAGTTGTTGGTAAGCCTGAGTCCAGGCAGGTGTGGTATTGCTTGCTGCTTTTCATGAGTGCTGTTTCCCAGGATCCGTGGTTGAGGTCATTGTCAGCTGTTTGTCATTTCCTTGTTCGATCGTGATATAAAGTTGAGGAGATGTGTGTGATCTCATTGTGGCTGGAATCAGGGCGTGGCCTGTGGTGAATTCTGTCACTTTGCTCAGTTATCGTCACGTCTTTAATCCTGATAATCCCATCTGTATAATAGATTCCATCATGCTGGTGGATCTGGTGAAATGTGTTTTTGTTGCTTACCTGGGAGGAGTTTCTCCTTTGTTATGACTGTGATTTTTGCTGCACTCCCCTCCTCCCCGCCTCGCTTCCTCCTCTGCTTACCGCTGGATTTCTCTCCCGTAGGATCTGGTGGTGATGGGGGCGCCAGGGTCATTTTATTGGGCCGGAACCATCAAAGTGCTGAACCTTACGGACAACACCTATTTAAAACTGAACGACGAAGTGATCATGAGCAGGCGGTACACCTATCTGGGTGAGTACTCAGAGAGGGCACAGGTAAGAAAGGAGAAACGGGAGTGATTCCCAGCAGATTCACAAATCATTGCTTTACTGTTGGAAAGAGGAGTGAGTTGGCTTTGATGCCTGTCGTTCTCATGACTTCATGACTTCCCTCTTTAGCCAGGGCATCTTCACATCTGGCTCCACACACGGAAGGCAGAGAGGAAGACAAAGAGGGGAACTGAATTAAAACTGTGCATTTTCTTGAGCTCCTGACCTCAGGTGATCCACCCACCTCGGCCTCCCAAAGTGCTAGGATTACAGGCGTGAGCCACCGCGCCCGGCCTTAAAGCTGTGCATTTTCATTAAAAAGCTGACAGTTGAACCTCCAGGGAAATAAACATTTGATTTTCTCATTTTCTCAGTTGCTGAGGTTCAGATGGTCAGGTACAAATGAGCGCGACGGAGTCTTGATTTTCCACGGCGTCCCTTTGAATAGAGTCCCTGCTTTCTGCTCACAAAACTGGCTGCAAATAGAAAAGAGCCAGAAATTATGACAGATGGCAACCTAATGCTGAAGGTTAATTCAAGGCTCAGAAAAATTTCTCTTCTTTTCTTAACTCTCTTCATCTTCTGGAAAGAAAATAGACACAATTTAATTTAGCCATCAGGCAGAACGACACTGCGGCAAGGGCCATGCCCATGTAAGAGCAGACATAGGCCGTCTTTGCTTGTGTGGATGACAATTACACGACTCTTTTCTTTAATGCATGCCCTAAATGCTATAATTCTGGATTGGAAACGCAGCTAAATTTAGGAGACCTAGTGATGACACACAGTGCTGTTTCACGCTCACGACACGTCGCTTGCAGGGGAAGGCTCTGACTCCGTGTTTGCATAGAGTCGCTGGGAACTTCTTGTTAAACGTGGGTAGGGAGTTGTTGACTTGCCTTTCCCCTTCTAACTACAAGTTTTTTGCCTGGTAGCAGAGACCCAACAATCCTTCTATTCTCGGGTGTTTGCTCCGAGAGGCACCCAGCTGCCTGGTGCTACTGATTAAGCGTTTAGCCTCTGCCTATAGCATTTACCCTCTGCCAGGCTCTGTGTATTATTTCTTTTAATACCTGAAACAACCTTATGAAGTAGCTATTATTATCTACATTTTATAGATAAACTGAGGAGCAAAGAAGTTATATATCTTGTCAAGGTCACATGGCTCCTAAGTAGCAAAATTGGGGTATGAGCCCATGGTTTCTGAGTACAGAGTCTAAATGCTGAGCTGCCTTCCCTGTGGGTATGGCTGAGAGGGCACCTGTCACTGCTGCTGTGCCTCTCACTGGGCTGGGAGCACCTTGAAGGCAACATGTGGGATTGTGTCTCACATTTCCCAGACTTGGAGTAGTGCTTGGTGTACAGTAGGAACTCAACACGTATTCACTGAATCAGCGAATGGAGAGAGGACAGAAGAAAGCCCAGTTTGGTTGATGGCTTTGGGGTCTAGGACAGCTCCTTTGAAGCTCAGGGCCTGTGGTTTTTCCCCTGTATACACAACAGAGGCCCTTATCTGCTGCAGGATTATCAAGCGTGAGTCCAGGCTCTGATCTTACTCGGAATACTCTCAAGTACTATCAGTCTCCAGTCTGAGAAATCAGCCACATGGTGAGGAACAGTTGATCGTGACATGATGTCATCTCAAAACTCAACTTATAATGACATTAGCGTTAGAGGGTGATGAGTTTGGGGACTGTATGGCAGTCTGTACAGGATTTCTGCTGGCCAGAGGAGAGCTTCCAGCCTGCTAGCAAGGCTCTTAGAAAGGAGGAGACATTGAAGCTAAGCTTAGGCAACCTTTTCCTTTGTTTCTAGGTTCCTTTTGCATCCATATATTTTCACTGACCACCTACCCACCTACCCACCCATCCACCCATCCACCCAACCGTCTACTCAACCACCCATCTACCTACCGACCCACGGACAGCTTCTTTTGCCTTGTCGGAGGGAGTGTGGTTAACAACAGGGGCTTTACACACAGATTGGATTGGAGTCTTGCTGTGTGATCTTAGGCATGTTGTGTAACAGGTTTTTCTGTTTCCATAGCTGTAAAATGGAGGGAACAGTCGTGCCTTCTTCATAACGCTGTTAGACTGAAAGGGATACCTAAAGACATACACAAACATGTCGGTAGCAACTTTGTTTATAATAATCCCAACCTGGAAACAACCTGAATGCCCAGCAACAGAATAAACACGTGACATGTTTACGTAACGGGACATTGCTCAACAACAAAAAACAAACTGCTGCTTAAAGATGTGGATGAGTGTCACAGGTGTTATGTGGAGTGAAGTTCTAGAAAAGGCAAGCATAATATCCGGTGACAGAAATCAGAATAGTGGGGCCGGGCACGGTGGCTCACGCCTGTAATCCCACCACTTTGGGAGGCCGAGGCAGGTGGATCACGAGGTCAAGAGATCAAGACCATCCTGGCCAACATGGTGAAACCCCGTCTCTACTAAAACTACAAAAATTAGTTAGTTGTGGTGGTGCATGCCTGTAGTCTCAGCTACTCAGGAGGCTGAGTTTGGAGATTAGCTTGAACCCTGGAGGGGGAGGTTGTGGTGAGCTGAGATCACACCACCACACTCCAGACTGGGCGACAGAGTGAGACTCCATCTCAAAAAAACAAAAAAAAGAATCATGTCTACCTGTGTGGGGCATGAGGGAACCCTCTGGGACTATGGTTCTGAGGCTATAGCCACTTTCTTGCTCTGGGTGGTGGCTGCCTGGCTCCGCACATGTGTACACGTTCATTGAGTTCCATACGTCAGATATGTGTACCTTACTGCATGAAAACTACACCTTGAAAGGAAGAAAACAGATATGTAATATTTATACAGTACTTGTCCCGAAGAGGACACCCAGAAAGCCCTCTTTCCTGCCCTAATGTCCTCGTGAACATGACTTTTTGTGAGATGAGAGCCATTTCAGCATGAGAAGGCTGACAGCTGCAATTTTTTTCCCTGGTTGTTTGTGTTCCAAGCTTAGGGGGGCATGCTTGAGAAACATTTTCCTCTGATGGATTTTCCCCCCCTTCCCTTCTTTCTCAACCCTGTGCTTGGTTTCTGCCCGTCCTGTTCAGGCTACGCAGTGACCGCTGGACACTTCTCTCAGCCGTCCACCACCGACGTGGTAGGAGGTGCCCCACAGGACAGAGGCATCGGCAAGGTGAGGGGAGACGTCTGTGGAATAACTGGGGTCAGACAGAAGAGGGGAACATGCTGTCCCTTGTGCAGAGGTTTGCCAGCTGATGTTGGCCTGAACATCCTACTGGGCGGCTGGTGGGCAGGTAATGAGGAACCCCTGACTGCCCCACTCTGTTTGAAAGCTTCCCTTGAAAGCTCAGAGTGTGAGTAGTACTCTCATTTCCTGCACACTCTCATTTGAGGTTTTTCACAGCTGCCTCTGTGTGTGTGTGTGTGGTGTGTGGTGTGTGCTGTGTGTGTGTGGTGTGTTTTTGTGTGTGTGTGGTGTGTGTGTGTAGTGTGTGGTTTTTTTTGGTGTGGGGAGTGTGTGTGGGGTGTGTGTTTGTGGTTGTGTGTGTTGTGTGTATGTGTGTGGTGTGTGTGTGGTGTATGTGTGGTGTGTGTATGGTATGTGTGTGTGATGTGTGGTGTGGGTGTGTTGTATGTGGGTGTGGTGTGTGTTTGTGGTTGTGTGTGTTTGGTGTGTTGTGTGTGTGTTGTGTTGTGTGATGTGTGTGTGTTGTGTGTGTAGTGTATGTGTGTTGTGTGTGTATGTGTGGTGTGTGTGGTGTGTGTGGTATATGGGTGTGTTGTGTGTGTGTGTGTTTGTGTTGTGTTGTATGTGTGTGTGTGTTGCGTTGTGTGGGGGGTGTGTGTGGTGTGTGTGTGTGGTGTGTGTATGTGTGGTGTGTATATGTGTAGTGTGTGTGTGGTGTGTGTTTGTGGTTTGTGTGGGGTATTGTGTGTGTTGTGTGTGTGGTGTGTATGTGATGTGTGTGTGTGTGGTGGGTGTGTTGTGTGTGGGTGTGGTGTGTGTTTGTGGTTGTGTGTGTTTGTGTGTTGCGTTGTGTGTTGTGTGTGTGGTGTGTGTGTATGTGTGGTATGTGTGTATGTGTGTGTGGTGTGTGTGTGTGGTGTATTGTGTGTGTTTTGTGTGTGTGGTGTGTGTGTGTGTGTAATTTATAAGACTGAGCCCTGGCCTCATGGTGTCCTTCAAAAGAATGGCATTTAGTGCTGTGCAACTTCGAATCCCAAACCCTTCCCAAGTCTGGCTTTGACTTAATGGAGCTAGATCTAGTCCCAGATATCTCTGTGGCTTTATTTATGCCCCAAATTATTCTCCTATTTATTTCCCCAGTGTTTTAGAAGGAACATTGAATTCCCAAGACAGGTTCAGCCCAAAGGCTGGACTGGAAATATGTGGGCCTGGCTTTCCCTAAACTACAGTATCTGCCCAAAGACCCAGCCCTGAATCTAGGGCTGACTGAATTCCTTTGGGAAGCATGACCTCTGAGAGGCCTGAATTGTGAACTCTGCTCGTTGGTTCTTGAGCATGAAGGTACAGGAAATGCAGACTGAGTAGGTCCAGATGGCTCAGGAACCCACATTTTTAAGAAGCTCCATGGGGGGGTTATCTGATGGGAGAGACTGAGTGAACAGGGGAGTGAACTTTGGATCTGAGCCCCTAGGGATAGACCTGTGATAGAGTCTGGTCCTATCTCCCAAGGCTTGGAGAAGTGGAATCTGGATTCTGGATTGGCACAGATGAGCTGAGACCACTGGTAATTGGAGCCTTCAGCCAGGAGGTCAGGGTGATCAGGGAGCTGATGAAATTTCTAGCTGACTAGGCTTGACTAAGGGTCATTTCCATGGATCCCCCCTGGGCAGAGGTTAGGAGCTGTGCTCATGTTTCTGGAGCATGTGCCTCCCTCCTCCCTAACACTGATGCTGTGGAGAGAGGTTCTTCGAAACTGAAACCAGATCAACCAGGACCCTGAGCCGGCAGGGAGGAGGGATCATGCAGGTGACCTTCCATCACATCAAGAAGGAGGTGGTTCTTTTCAAGTTGCGTGAATTTCTCTACATAGTAGAGAAAGACGCACTAAGAGCCGTTTGCATTGATTCTGTCTTCTTCGGGAGGGGCTGCAGGCTCCCAGGCACCTCTGTAGAAATGGTAAAAATGCCTACCTCTAGTTCACAGTCATGCGGGTGCCTCTATGCTAACGATAGCAGCTTTCTTTTCTCCCTAATTGGAGGAAACACGATCCAGTTTTGTAGTTTTCCCTTCAGATGACTGCAATGAGCTTCGTAGTCCCTGTCAAGTCTTAATGGGACCCCCCCCCACAAACCCCTCTCATTGGCTGTCTGGGGAATGCAGGGTATAAAGTAAAAAAAAAAAAAAGAGGAAAATGGCATTTATAACTGATAGAGCCAGACAGCGGGAATACTGGACCCAGTTAACAAAGTACAAAAAATGCTTCTTTCAGTTAGACCACCTGAGAGGCACGGGGGAAACCTGTCACAGTGGCAAAGCTGCTGACAGTTCCACATTCCCAGGGACTGGGGCGAGTCCCAGGGACCCCAGGGTGGACCTCTGGCCTTGAGGATTTCGGTGGTTATTCCAGTGCCAGGGCACAAAAGCACTCACACTAAGATGGCAGTTCCTTATCTCATGGGAAGGTTACTTACACTGGTTCTCATGAGACACTCTTCCCACAAGATGTCATCTGAACAAAGAACTTTCATAGCCAAGTACATTTAGGAAGTTAAATGTCAGTGATCGTCTTTGCAGTGGAGACGCATAGTTCGCATGAACATGGGAAGGCTCTAAAAAGTTCCACAGTCAAGGAGTTTACTTGACGTTTAACTCCGCAGTTCCCAAACGAAACTCCTGTTTACCCAGGCAGATCGCATGACTCTCATGCTACGTGAAATCACTTTGGGACCCTGCTTCGTCTGCAGTACTCACCTCCGTCCATCCCTTTGTCTTCTGTTGAAATGCCTGTTAAAGCCCCACTAGGAATAAAGGCCAATCCATGCCACCAACTAATTTTAAAAAAAAGGAATAAACGAAATATTTCAAGAAACAAAATCCTAGCTTTTTCTCAAATGTGAGTTGTTTACTTGTAATTTCGAAGCTCCCTGGGTCCTACTGTGTGTGGCTTTCATGAGCAGTGTGGTTCAGGAGCAGCGGAGGTGATTTCTGCCTCTGGATTGAAGGACACTTTTCTTTGCAGGGTTGGTAAAATGACAGCTGACTTCTTCATGGTCATCAGCGAGCGTAGGCACGACTGCTGTGCACCTGGCGCTGAAGCTTTTAAATAGGATTCCCAGGAGGATGCTGATAAATATCTTTGATCATTGATTTCATCCTAATTAGATTTTTTTTTTAATTCCATAGGTTTATATTTTCAGAGCCGACCGAAGATCAGGCACCTTAATTAAGATCTTTGAAGCATCAGGTAAAAAGGTGAGGTTCTTGGTATAAGTGACTATTTTTTAATTTGAAAGGTGTGATCATGTGGGAGTCTGTTCTTTTTAGAAAATTGTGCCCTACGTTTATATGGCAGTGCTGTCTGCTTGTTGGTATCTTTACCTTCTCAATGGTGTGTAAAACCTGTATGTTCGTGGGACTCATGCTCCCTTTAGGAGACATTCTGTAGCAAGATGAGTTATATGTGGCCCAGTTACAGCACAGGGTTTTAAGAGATTGTCCATAGTTCAGACTGTCAACAAAGGGACTCATGCTCTGTCTGTCGGCCTCCATTCCTTTCCCAACGCATCTCCACCTCCAGAATCAGGTACAGTTGAGTACAGGTGGCAGGAGATGCTTCTCACTGAACCTGTTTCACCAGCCCGACATTACCCGCTTCCGGAATCCTCAGCCTTCAAGTGTCATTGCCAAGGTGACTCTTGCCACACAAAGAAAATCCAAACACAAGTTGCCCAATTCCTCTTATAACCTTGAAGCAGAAATAGCTCAGGGTACGGCCCTAAAGCTAGTTCCAGGTGAGGTTACGCTGCCTGGGTTCTCCCCATCTTGCCCCGAATCCTCTATCTGCTTTCTGAAAGTTTCCATTATACTGCCTTGTCATCTAAAATTAAGCCAGCTAGAGAGTCCTGAGACTGATAAGCAGCAGTTTTCATGGGCTTCCCAGTCATGCACCCCTTGTGTGGCTTAGGTCAGCAGGACTGTTGGGCTGAGCTTGGCTACTCTAAGGGACACAAGTTTGGGTTGGGAGCTGTGGGGGGTAATTTGGAGGCTGGTCTCGGTGGAGGCCTTTGTGGGATCTGGGAAGAAGCATAGGATGTCTGGGACATGGGAGGAAGATCCCAGAAGCTAGGAGAATGCCAGAAGGCAATTTTATCTACCACTACTCTGCAAAAAGGGAAAAAACCGTTTCCTTCCTTGGCCACGTGCCTCCTTAATTCTGTTCCTGCTGAGTTAGAACTGCCTGGGATCCTTCCATGTGGTTCTGATGGTGAATCATATTCCGAGTTCCAGAAATCCCATTCAAGTAGACCTTTGTGCAGTTTTAATAATCCAACAGGTATACTCAGGGTATCATTGTCATTATCTTTTGAATGAAAAAGTGCATCACCAAACTTGGTTTTGCATTCTTCCTCGGAACGGCTCTGTCTTCCCCTGAGAACTCTGCTGGCTTGTGTTACTTTAACATTTCCAAAACCCCAAAGCAACAACACTGGAAAATGACCGTGAGCCATTCTGCAAAAAGGTTTTCCAAGCACCCCTAAAGTTAGAAAAGAAGTACCTTCATGCTATTTGTGATTTACGAAAGAGAGTCCCAGAGAGCATGTAGGACGTGAGTGGAACTAAGGCTAACATTTTAGATCTTTTGCAGAAGATAGCAAATGGGTGACCGTGTCTACCATAGAAACAAACTCCCTCTTCCCTTCAAATGCACCTGGGTTTGAAAGCCTAAAGGGAAAGGATTTCTGCATCTCCCCGCCACCCCAGCTTTTTTTTTTTTTTTTTTTGAGACAGAGTCTCATTTTGGCATGATCTTAGCTCACTGTAACCTCTGCCTCCTGGACCCAAGCCATCCTCCCACCTCAGCCTCCCAAGTAACTTGGACCACAGACATGCTCACCATGCCCAGCAGTTTTGCATTTTTTTTTTTTTTTTTTTTTTTTTTTTTGGAGAGATGGGGTTTTACCATGTTGCCCAGGCTGGTCTCAGACTCCTGGGCTCGAGGGATCCATCCACCTTGGCCTCCCAGAGTGCTGGGATTACAGGCATGAGCCACTGCACCCAGCCAAGGCTTATTTAAAGTGAATTGTGGCGCTCAAACGTGCCCATCACCTTGTTCTCTGAGTATCTTTGTGTTCACTTGTAGCTGTGCCTCCCAAACGGCTCTTTCTTCCCAGCCCTACTTGCTGCCTGTGCCCTGGGCAGGCCCAGTTAATGCCTGTTGCCCTGGAGTAATTAACGGTCTGTAGTTGTCCCTGTGTCCTTGAAAACCTCTTGGTCTGGATGATAACCTGTGCTCAAGTTGGTCAGGTTTTGGGGAGTAGATCTGAGAGCTGGCAGCGCAAGCAGGGTGAGGTTGACCTCTGGGAACCTACTTGTCCGAACTTCCTCAAGCCTTTTGCCATTGAGTCCCAGGACAGGTTCAGGCCTGAATGTGTGCTTGGATGTCCTCGTCATACCAAGATCCTTCAGGTTCCCTGAGAAGGGACAGAAGGGCCCAGGTCTTCAGCCTCCTGGCTTCATAGCCGTTTGACCTTTTCTTTTCGTCAGGGCTCCTCTGGCCCCAACCTTTGCACCATTCCGTAGACACCCCTTCTTTCTGCCACTCACAGCCCTGTACCTTCACTTCCTCCTAGTGTCTCCAGCTTGCTTTACCCTGTCATCATCACCCTGCCTTTGAAATACACCATGACCTTGCTTTATATAGTGGATTCTGCTTCTCGCCAGAAGAAATGAAACATTCATGTCTTTCTGGCTTCTCCATTACCTCCTGCGAAAGGACACGACCCCAGGCTTTCGAATGATGCCTTTAGCTTTAGCCTATGTCCAGAGCCACGTAGACAGGAGGGTTCTAACTCAGCAAACCACCGGTTTACTTCTGCTTCCGCTTGGCTAGAATTTGGCCAGATAGTTCTGCATCCTGGCTTCCCATAGGAAACAAGAAAACAAAAAAAAAAAAACCCAGTTCTTGTCTTTATTGGTTGACTTTCTCCAAATAGTGCATATAAGAAATCACCTACATGTGCGCAGTTCACATGTTAATAGAGACACACATCTCCACATTTCCAGGCAGACGGGAGCTCTGATCATTGGATGCTCACCCCAACGCATGTCATTGCCATACTGAAGTTTTATTGAATTAATGGAGTATGTGAAACATTTGTATTTTAAAACTTAGATAGGAAACTTCACATACAGAGATTTCTGATTTAACATTGATGAAGAAGCCAAGTTAAATAGCCCTTTGGAATGAAACAAATAGTTCCCCTGGGGCTCAGCCAGCGAGTGCAGTCGGCAGCTTGGCTCTTTGGGACTTTGCCTGTGTCTCACTGACTTCTTTTACCAACGCTCAGATGGGGAGATTGGCAAGGCCACTGAATCAGTGACTTGCTGTTTCTTTCCTCTGCACCCTCTGTGACTGTAACCTTTTCCTGCTTCCTTCTCCCTTGAGAATGGGTAGCCAGAGTGGAGGGAGATGGCCTTGGCATATTGCTGGGGAAGGATTTCTGAGCGGCCACTACAAAGCCCTCCTGTGACCCTGTTAGCTGCAGGAAATAGATAGTCCTCCACCTCTCGCTCTCAACCTCCCTGGGTCAGGAAATAGATAGTCCTCCACCTCTCGCTCTCAATCTCCCTGGGTCAGCTGCCAACAAACTCCAACAGTAAAAGAAAAGGCTTTTTCATGTCTATAAAGCTGGGGCATTTTATTAGAAAACATTTATTTTAAAAGAATAATGCTTTTTCTTTTTTTCTTTCTCTTTTTTTTTATTTTTGAGATGAGTCTTGCTGTGTTGCTCATGCTGGAGTGCCGTGGTGTGATCTTGGCTCACCGCAACCTCTGCCTCCCGTGTTTAAGCGATTCTCCTGCCTCAGCCTCCCAGGTAGCTGGGACTATGGGTGCCTGCCTCCACACCCACTAATTTTTGTATTTTTAATAGAGGTGGGGTTTCACCATGGCCAGGCTGGTCTCGAACTCCTGACCTTGTGATCTACCCACCGCGGCCTCCCAAAGTGCTGGGATTGTAGGCGTGAGCCACTGCGCCTGGCCCCCCTTTTTTTAAGTAGAGGTTGCAAACTGATAGCCTTTGGAAAGAATACAGTCTGCAGATGCTTTTATTTGGCCTGCACAGTATTTGTTATTGTTTTTACACATGAAGAAGTTGCGAGCATTTAAAACAATGGCACTTTAAATAAAGTTTTAAACGTTTGGCTTCTTTTGGAAAAATGGAAAGGTTGGTCCTCCCTGGGTCAGCCTTCCTCTTGGTGGTGGTTAGCTGCAGCTGGGTAGAAGCTGCTCCTTTAGCCAGGCTGTGGGATCCAGGTTGCCACGGTCTCTGCCACTCCCTGTTGTTATGTAGACGTGGAAGATAAGTGTCACTTGCCACATTAATTGTTTTTCTTATGGCTGTTATGTCACCTGCCTGGATCCTGTTGGTATTTGGGTTTGAGACCCCTAATTAGCCTAATTTAAAGTCAATATTATCTTGCTCTGTTCCCTCATCAGTCAAACAGTCTTAAAAGTTGTACCTTTTTTTTTTGTCACTTCAGCTCATGCCTTCCTAACCAACCTTTAGCTCTGTGTGGGACTGGGAGAGAATAACTTGTTTCCCCATGTAACATCTATTTTCATGCCTTTCTTGTGTTGTGAGATTTCATATTCCTACTTGCTTAGCCTGGTCAAGTGTCTGATATAAGGGGCATTTTGATTATGGTTGTAACATATCTTCATAACCTTAGCTTGCATTTTTAAAAACAGTACCTCATTCTCTGGGCATCAATCTATGTATCTTCCCTTTGCCAGGACTCCAGGAATGGGGGACTCCAGGCCAGTTAGCTTTGTCTCCCATTGACTGGGGCCCTGCCTTGCTGCTGGAAGCTGGTATTTCACTCTTTGCTAGGCATTCTGGTTGATGGGGCAGCACAGCCATCCAGCCTCTAAAGGGTCAGGGAGCACATGTTTCCAAAGCCAGCGGGCTGGAGGAAAGAGGGCCCCCTTGTGTGACAGCAGACACTGAATGCTTTGTCACAACTTGACTTGGTTGCAGATGGGCTCTTACTTCGGCTCCTCCTTGTGCGCAGTTGACCTGAATGGGGACGGCCTCTCTGACCTGCTGGTGGGGGCCCCCATGTTTTCTGAGATCAGGGATGAGGGACAGGTCACCGTCTACATCAACAGAGGAAACGTGAGTACCAGGCTGGGCAACGTGGGGATGGGTGTTGGGGAGGGACATTTGTCCAGCAGGTAGTGGCTGGGCACCCCTCTGGGTGTGTCCTGGGCCACATTGCCCAGAGGAAATGAAAGTATGTGATTTCTGGTCCATTAATGGAAAGTTATACACAATGTTACAACTGCAGACACATGGGCCAAGGAGGACTAGTAATAATTGTCTCTCGAGTGCTTTCCACGCAGCAAGGACTCTTCTTCCTGATTTCTGTGAGAGATTTCCATTCAGTGTCCACATGGTGTCAAGCGTGCCTGTTTTTCAGATGAAAAAACTGAGGCCCAGAGTGGTTAGGTAATGTGTCCCAAGTCACACAGCTAAGAAGTGGGGCTGGGATTTGAACCTAGGCAAGCTGGTTCAGAGCTGGCATGCTTTGTCTCAAGGTTGTGCCGCCCCTCTAGGAGCATATGCACGTCTTCCCAGGGAAGCAGAAGAGGACGCAATGGCTGGGGAATCTTGAAGGAGTAGGAGTTGACAGACAGGCAGGGTGGGCTGGGGCGGAGCTCCCAGCGGGGAGCTGGGCAAGTGGGTTGGGGTGTGAGGCAGCAGCACCACTCAGTTCAGCATGGAGGGGCAGGGGACTGCGTGGGAGCCATAGTCTTTTTTTTCTTATCTTTTTTTTTTTTTTTTTGAGACAGAGTTTCACTCCATCACCCAGGCTGGAGTGCAGTGATGCAATCTTGGCTCACTGCAACCTGCTTTCCAGGTTTAAGTGATTCTCCTGCCTCAGCCTCCTGAGTAGCTGGGACTACAGGCACGTGTCACCACACTTGGTTAATTTTTGATGTGTTTTTAGTAGATATGGGATTTCACCATGTCAACCCAGGCTGGTCTCAAATTCCTGACCTCAAGTGATCTGTCCTCCTTGGCCTCCCTGGGATTGCAGATGTAAGCCACCATGCCCGGCCTCAAGTGATCTGTCCTCCTTGGCCTCCCTGGGATTACAGATGTAAGCCACCATGCCCGGCCTCAAGTGTTCTGTCCTCCTTGGCCTCCCTGGGATTGCAGATGTAAGCCACCATGCCCGGCCTCAAGTGATCTGTCCTCCTTGGCCTCCCTGGGATTGCAGATGTAAGCCACCATGCCCGGCCTCAAGTGATCTGTCCTCCTTGGCCTCCCTGGGATTGCAGATGTAAGCCACCATGCCCGGCCTCAAGTGATCTATCCTCCTTGGCCTCCCTGGGATTGCAGATGTAAGCCACCATGCCCGGCCTCAAGTGATCTGTCCTCCTTGGCCTCCCTGGGATTGCAGATGTAAGCCACCATGCCCGGCCTCAAGTGATCTGTCCTCCTTGGCCTCCCTGGGATTGCAGATGTGAGCCACCATGCCCGGCCTCAAGTGATCTGTCCTCCTTGGCCTCCCTGGGATTGCAGATGTGAGCCACCATGCCCGGCCTCAAGTGATCTGTCCTCCTTGGCCTCCCTGGGATTGCAGATGTGAGCCACCATGCCCGGCCTCAAGTGATCTGTCCTCCTTGGCCTCCCTGGGATTGCAGATGTGAGCCACCATGCCCGGCCTCAAGTGATCTGTCCTCCTTGGCCTCCCTGGGATTGCAGATGTGAGCCACCATGCCCGGCCTCAAGTGATCTGTCCTCCTTGGCCTCCCTGGGATTGCAGATGTGAGCCACCATGCCCGGCCTCAAGTGATCTGTCCTCCTTGGCCTCCCTGGGATTGCAGATGTGAGCCACCATGCCCGGCCTCAAGTGATCTGTCCTCCTTGGCCTCCCTGGGATTGCAGATGTGAGCCACCATGCCCGGCCTCAAGTGATCTGTCCTCCTTGGCCTCCCTGGGATTGCAGATGTGAGCCACCATGCCCGGCCTCAAGTGATCTGTCCTCCTTGGCCTCCCTGGGATTGCAGATGTAAGCCACCATGCCCGGCCTCAAGTGATCTGTCCTCCTTGGCCTCCCTGGGATTGCAGATGTGAGCCACCATGCCCGGCCTCAAGTGATCTGTCCTCCTTGGCCTCCCTGGGATTGCAGATGTGAGCCACCATGCCCGGCCTCAAGTGATCTGTCCTCCTTGGCCTCCCTGGGATTGCAGATGTGAGCCACCATGCCCGGCCTCAAGTGATCTGTCCTCCTTGGCCTCCCTGGGATTGCAGATGTGAGCCACCATGCCCGGCCTCAAGTGATCTGTCCTCCTTGGCCTCCCTGGGATTGCAGATGTGAGCCACCATGCCCGGCCTCAAGTGATCTGTCCTCCTTGGCCTCCCTGGGATTGCAGATGTGAGCCACCATGCCCGGCCTCAAGTGATCTGTCCTCCTTGGCCTCCCTGGGATTGCAGATGTGAGCCACCATGCCCGGCCTCAAGTGATCTGTCCTCCTTGGCCTCCCTGGGATTGCAGATGTGAGCCACCATGCCCGGCCTCAAGTGATCTGTCCTCCTTGGCCTCCCTGGGATTGCAGATGTGAGCCACCATGCCCGGCCTCAAGTGATCTGTCCTCCTTGGCCTCCCTGGGATTGCAGATGTGAGCCACCATGCCCGGCCTCAAGTGATCTGTCCTCCTTGGCCTCCCTGGGATTGCAGATGTGAGCCACCATGCCCGGCCTCAAGTGATCTGTCCTCCTTGGCCTCCCTGGGATTGCAGATGTGAGCCACCATGCCCGGCCTCAAGTGATCTGTCCTCCTTGGCCTCCCTGGGATTGCAGATGTAAGCCACCATGCCCGGCCTCAAGTGATCTGTCCTCCTTGGCCTCCCTGGGATTGCAGATGTGAGCCACCATGCCCGGCCTCAAGTGATCTGTCCTCCTTGGCCTCCCTGGGATTGCAGATGTGAGCCACCATGCCCGGCCAATAATTTTGATGTTCCCTATTCTGCAGAATCATGAAAGGGACGTAACAGGGACAGAAAGATGCCTCTGGCCTTCTGCAGCTGGTGTGGGGGAGTGGGTGGGGGCTGGGTTGGGGGCCAGCAGTGCATTGTGGAGGCAGGAGACCAGTGAGAAAGCAGTCTTTCCAGGATCCAGAAGTACAAGTATCCAATAGGAGGGAGGTGGTTCATAGAAAACGTCTGGTGCTGCCTGCCTTTTCTCCAACATCGGAAAATGCTGATGAGATAATCACTTGAAAAACAGTATAAAAACTGCGTGTACAACCAGTTCTTAAAAATATGCCAGATACATAGGGAATGTGAATAACGGCGCTCTGTTTAGTTTTATCTAAACATCTACCAGATACTGAAAATGTAATACTTTTCTAATAAAAAAAAAAAAGCCAGTCAAAGTGTACTGTTAAGAGTGTATGAGATGCTAGGTATCCCAGTCGGGAGAGGGCAGCGGTTTCGCTGTAATAAGTGGGCAGGTGCCAGAAAGGAGGAAGCAGTGAAAGGAGAACCAGGGACTGTCAGAGCCTTGTGTTGCCTCTGAGGTTTTCAGGCTCTTCAGGCAGCATCTAAAGGCAGATCTAAAACCGAGAGGCTTTGAGAGGCCAAGGCAGGAGGCTCACTTGAGGCCAGGAGTTCAAAACCAGCCTGGACAACATGGTGAAACCCCATCTCTACTAAAAACACACAAAAAAGGATCTAGAACCGGAAATACCATTTGACCCAGCAATCCCGTTACTGGGTGAATACCCAAAGGATTATAAATTATTCTACTATAAAGACACATGCACATGTATGTTTATAGCAGCACTATTCACAATAGCAAAGACTTGCAACCAACCTAAATACCCATCAAGGATAGACTAGTTAAAGAAAATGTGACACATATACATGGTGGAATACTATACAGCCATCAAAAAGGATGAGCTCATGTCCTTTGCAGGGACGTGGATGAAGCTGGAAACCATCATTCTCGGCAAACTAACACAGGAACAGAAAACCGAACCCTGCATGTTCTCATAAGTAGGAGTCGAACAGTGAGAACACATGGGCATAAAGAGGGGAACATCACACACGGGCCTGTCGGGGGCTGGGGGGCTAGGGAAGGGAGAGCACTGGGAGAAATACCTAATGTAGATGACAGGTTGATGGGTGCAGCAAACCCCCATGGCACGTGTATACCTATGTAACAAATCTGCATGTTCTGCACATGTACCCCAGAACTTAAAGTATAAAAAACAAAAAACAAAAAATATCAGCCAGGTGTGGTGGTGCTTGCCTGTGGTCCCAGCTGAGGCCTAGGTGGGAGGATTGCTTGAGTCCAGACAGTGGAAGCTGCAGTGAGTCGTGATCATGCCACTGTACTCCACCCTGGGTGACAGAGCTTATCAATCAGTTAATCAATTAGTCAACAAGCCAACAAGCAAGGTACAGTGGTGGTTGCCTGTAGTCCTAGCTATCCAGGAGGCTGAGGTGAGAGGATCCCTTGAGCACAGGAGTTGGAGGTGGCAGTGAGCTATGATTGCACCACTACACTCCAGCCTTGGCGAGAAAGTGACTCTGATTCTAAAAAAATACAATACCTGGGAGGGAAGGTGCTTATTGGTACCTGTTGCAGGAGCCCTTGTCACCTGCATCCGCACTGACATTCCAGGAAGTCAGGGCAGGGTGCAGGGAGACATGAGGGGATATTCAATGGTGCCTGCTGTTACATTTGCAGGAGACTGAGACATTTGTGTGGGAGTCAGGTCCAACAGCCAGACTGTCTAAATCAGGAGGTGGATTCTTTAACTCTTCTTTTTCTTTTTTTTGAGACTGAGTTTTGCTCTTGTTGCCGAGGCCGGAGTGCAATGGTGCAATCTCAGCTCACAGCAACCTCTGCCTCCTGGGTTCAAGCGATCTGCCTCAGCCTCCCAAGTAGCTGGGATTACAGGCATGCGCCGTATTGCCTGACTAATTTTGTGTTTTTAGTAGAGATGGGGTTTCTCCATGTTGCTCAGGCTGGTCTTGAACTCCCAACCTCAGGTGATCTGCCCACCTTGGCCTCCCTAAGTGCTGGAATTACAGGCGTGAGCTAGTGCATCCTGCCAGGAGGTCGACTCTTGAAGCACAAGAATTCCCCCCAGACCTCCTTGGGCACAGTGTACCCACACACCCCCTGCCAACCAGCGTTTCTTGATGTTGTGTGGTTATTCTGAGTACCAGGGTATTCTCGTTTCTGTTGAATTTTAGCCATTTGAATAAAGATCGGAAGGCAGTGTGGAGGAGGGGAAAATGCTGACTTTGGAGGAAGGTGGACCTGAGTTTGAATCTTGGTTTTGCCACATCCTAGCCTGTGTGATGTGGACGAACAGCTTGAAATTGGTGGCCCAGTTTCCTTATCTGTAAAGTGAGAGCCATCGTAAGATTTTCCTTATAGAGTTGCTGTGTGATTTAAATGAGGAGCAGGCCCTACGGTGCCTGGTGCATAGCAGCAATCAGTTACTGGTGTTCCTCTCCTCTTCCCCACCACACTGAGAGAAAGAAATGAATGCGTATTTGTGTTTTGGGGTGGAGGTTTCATTGACCCAAGAAATCATCATACCTTGATTGTTTTCAAGTTGTAAATTGTGTTAAAGTGAAAAAGAAGACCTGGTCGTGGTAAAAGCCAGACCCTCACGGAAGGGGCTGTGGGATTCACGTGCCAGTGATTTGGGGTGAGACTGGGTATGACTTTTTCCCCCAAAGTCAGGTGACTTTTCTTGCCTTTGTACACCATTGACCCCTCCCTCTGATGATTAGAATTTTCTCTGGAAATTCGTACCTGAGCCATGCATGAGTAATAGGCACAGCGATGTCTGCCACCACAGCACCCCCTGGCCAAGAACGACTGGGTGCTTGGATTTTCTGAACCATGACTCCCTGTATCAGGATGATTTATGCATGCGCCTTGTAAAACATCTTTATAAACTTGCACCAAAAGACACAGGAAAGAAGACAATAGAAACACGTATGCCCTTTTAGAATAACATTGGGGAAAATGCTGTCCCCTAAGGAAAGCTGAGAGCACACTGGGGACAGGTGGCTGGGGAGGTTTGCTTTTATATAGAGCATTAGGACAAGGAGGAGGTGTAGTCACTGGCTGCCATGACATTCTCCTTCCCTGAAAATGCGTCTCAGGCTATGGGAGACCATCCTGTTGAGCAGGTAAAAGGGACTCACTTTGCCAGCAGGAGGGAGCAGCTTGGTTCCTGCGATTCTGCCCAGGTGTTTCCTGTCGATGAGCGTGCACTAGCAGGGAAGCGTTCAAGCTCTGGTTCTTTAATTGTTTTTATGGTTTGTTCTATTTGTTTTTGTTTTGTTTTCCATTTTCTCCTCCATCCTGTTTCCCAGGGAGCCCTTGAGGAGCAGCTGACTCTGACCGGGGATAGTGCCTACAATGCGCACTTTGGAGAGAGCATTGCCAGCCTGGATGATCTGGACGACGATGGCTTCTTAGGTGAGCGAGTGCTCCAGGTTCTCGGGGCCCTCCAGCTGCAGCACGTGGCTCAGCTTTGGAGGGGCAGCCTCTCCTCCGACTGTCTGTGTCCACTGGCATGCTCCTGGTCTCCGGGCCCACTCCAAAGGCCCATCAGTGTGCTGTGGGGAGAGAGGACGCTCTTGGAGATGCTGTCTGTGTGGACGCTCAGGGTCGAGCTTCCAGCCCACTGGAGTTTTGCCTCTGTGTAATCCCTTCTCACCAGCTCAGTGTTCTTTGTTGTTTGCATGGGAGCAAACCTTGAGACTGGTCCATCTGGGGCTTCTTATGGCAGAGAAGCTTGGACAGCTTCCTCCTGCCACCAACTCTCCTTGTTTCTGAGCCTTCGATGCTCCATGACACACTACCATGTTGATGGGGAAATGAGTGAGGAGAGAATTAGAGGCCTAGACATCTCCCTGATTATGGCAGCAGCTGGGTTGCCTTTTGAAACTGTGAGAGTGTGTGTGTGTGTGTGTATGTGTGTCTTGGGAGGCGTAGAGGCATATGTAGTGTGTGTGTGCATGTGTGTGGGTGTGTGTGTGTTTTGGGAGGCATATGTAGTGTGTGTGTGCATGTGTGTGTGTGTTTTGGAAGGCATGGAGGCATATATAGAGTGTGTGTGCGTGTGTGTGTGTGTGTCTTGGGAGGCATGGAGGTGTATGTAGTTGTGTGTGTGTCGGGAGGCGTGGAGGCATGTAGTGTGTGTGTGCATGTGTGTGTGTGTGTTTTGGGAGGCATGGAGGCATATATCGAGTGTGTGTGTGTGTGTCTTGGGAGGTGTGGAGGCATATGTAATGTGTGTGTGTGTCTTGGGAGGCATGGAGGCATATGTAATTGTGTGTGTGTGTCTTGGGAGGCGAGGCATATGTAGTGTGTGTGTGTGTGTGTGTGTCTTGGGAGATGTGGAGGCATTTGTGTGTGTGTGTGTGTCTTGGGAGGCGTGGAGGCATATGTAGTGTGTGTGTGTGTGTGTGTGTGTGCGCGTTTTGGGAGGCGTGGAGGCATGTAGTGTGTGTGTGTGTGTCTTGGGAGGCATGGAGGTATATGTAGTGTGTGTGTGTGTGTGTGTGTGTGTGTCTTGGGAGGCATGGAGGCATATGTATTGTGTGTGTGTGTGTGTGTGTGTGTGTCTTGGGAGGCGTGGAGGCATATGTAGTGTGTGTGTGTGTCTTGGGAGACGTGGAGGCATTTGTGTGTGTGTGTGTGTGTCTTGGGAGGCGTGGAGGCATATGTAGTGTGTGTGTGTGTGTGCGTTTTGGGAGGCGTGGAGGCATGTAGTGTGTGTGTGTGTCTTGGGAGGCATGGAGGTATATGTAGTGTGTGTGTGTGTGTGTGTGTCGGGAGGCGTGGAGGCATATGTAGTGTGTGTGTGTGTGTGTGTCTTGGGAGACGTGGAGGCATTTGTGTGTGTGTGTGTGTGTCTTGGGAGGCGTGGAGGCATGTAGTGTGTGTGTGTCTTGGGAGGCATGGAGGTATATGTAGTGTGTGTGTGTGTGTCTTGGGAGGCATGGGGGCATATGTAGTGTGTGTGTGTGTGTCTTGGGAGGCGTGGAGGCATATGTAGTGTGTGTGTGTGTGTCTTGGGAGACGTGGAGGCATTTGTGTGTGTGTGTGTCTTGGGAGGCGTGGAGGCATATGTAGTGTGTGTGTGTGTGTGTGCGTTTTGGGAGGCGTGGAGGCATGTAGTGTGTGTGTGTGTGTCTTGGGAGGCATGGAGGTATATGTAGTGTGTGTGTGTGTGTGTGTCGGGAGGCATGGAGGTATATGTAGTGTGTGTGTGTGTGTGTCTTGGGAGGCGTGGAGGCATATGTAGTGTGTGTGTGTGTTTTGGGAGGCGTGGAGGCATGTAGTGTGTGTGTGTGTCTTGGGAGGCATGGAGGTATATGTAGTGTGTGTGTGTGTGTGTGTGTGTCTTGGGAGGCATGGGGGCATATGTAGTGTGTGTGTGTGTGTGTGTGTGTGTGTGTGTGTCTTGGCAGGCATGGAGGCGTATGTACCTAGGTCTGTTTGGACAGCAGTGCTCCTCACAGCCTCTCGGCCTCTCTCTCTCTGTCTTGTCTGAGCCTCTTCTCCTCGCTGCACACACAGCATACAGACGTCGGGTGGTGGAGCAGCCATGTCACCAGGGAATATGGTGGTGGAGGTGGGGCATTCCTTGCCCGGGCCAGCCATCCAGATGTCTTCAGTACCTCCTACCGCTGCCACAGAAGGCTTCATTTTCCTCCCCTTTGGCCTCGCTTCTGAAGACACATGGCTTTGTTAGAAGCAAGGGGAAAAGTTAGGAAGCTCTGGGCTTTGTTCTAGGAGTTACCAGTTTGTCAGAGGAATGTTTCTTGTGTGTGAGGTGAATGCCCTTCTCTACGTTTCCTTCACCCAGGAATAGAGTTGACTTTCTCAGTTATGCAGTCACCATTGTCATGGAATTCTCCCTTATGGAAATTAGGGCAGGTAGATTATATTTGCATTTATCTTATTGGATGGGTCAGTGATTTTTCTTATGAGCAGAAGGTAGAAACTTTTTTGGAATTAAACTCTTAGCTTCTGTAGTCTTTGCTGTACTTTTATTTTTGAGATGGAGTCTCTTGCTCTGCCCAGGCTGGAGTGCAGTGGCACGATCTCGGGTCACTGCAACCTCTGCCTCCCGGGTTCAAGTGATTCTCTTGACTCAGTCTCCAGAGTAGCTGAGACTATAAGTGTGCGCCACCACGCCCAGCTGATTTTTGTATTTTTAGTAGAGATGGGGTTTTGTGATGTCGGCCAGGCTGGTCTTGAACTCTTGACCTCAGACAATCTGCCCGTCTTGGACTCCCAACATGCTGGGATTACAGGCAGGAACCACCACACCAGGCCTACATTTTTTTCTGCTAGGGGATCATGCATCTAAATTAATGCTTGAACAATCAACAACCAAGAGTTTCTGGTATCCAGGGGCTGGAACGCGATAACCAGAATTCAGGAAGCTGCGCTTATATTATCCATGTGGCTTTTTAACCCATAGCTGTCTTTCTTCCCTCAGATGTGGCCATTGGTGCACCCAAGGAGGACGACTTCGCAGGGGCGGTCTATATCTATCATGGTGATGCCGGTGGGATAGTCCCTCAGTACTCAATGGTAATTGGCATGGGAGTGATATGGCAACTGTTCATACATTCATTCAACAAACATGTATGGAACCTTCATTATGCACCATGCCCTGGAGGTACAAAGAAAAACAACATCTTTCTGGCCTTGACCTTCCCACCTTTTAGTGAAAGACACAATGAATATTGCTTATTAAATACTAAGAAAAGCATTCTTAGAATTCCAGTTTGCTCATACTCAGGGGTGCATTTTGCCTAAAGAAGATAATTTTCAACTCTTAGAGCCATTTATTTATTTATTTATTTTTCCATTCCCATTTATTTTTGGCTCTTGGGGCAATGTTATCTTTTCAATATGAAAAAAAGCAGCAAGTTCAACACAAAATAGAAATCTCAAATGTAGAATAGAACAAAATCAAGTGTGTGTGGGGGGAAGCAACAGCAAAAGGAAATATGAGATGTTGCAAAAAAGATGGAGGGTCTTATTTAAGAAAAGAAGGGAAGCTTTCTCTTTTTGGTGACTCCTTTGTCAACCATCTATGCTAAGCCAAGGCAATATGTTTTTAAATACTATCTAGAAGGACAGTGGTCCATGGTGGAGAGGCATGAAACTGCTCATAGGCTGCTGTCCCAACTGGCCTTAAAACCAGGAGCCGGTTAGGACTCTGCCCTTGCACCCCAGGCCTGGGAAAATGGAAGTGGTGAGTTCTGTTTTTTGCCGTATCAGCTTGGTGTTCAATCTTGCTGATGGTGTCAAGCCCAGCCCATGGGAAAAAAGGAAGTCATGCTCTTAGCAGAAGCACTGTCAGGATATTTGAGGATGTCTGCGTGTGGAGTGGCACTGGCTCAGGTCTTGCTCCCAGTGGGTCAGAGACAGAAGGGGACACACACAGAAATTTCCAGCAACAAATATTTATTTCTTGAACACTTATTACGTCCTAACTACTTCCTGCTCGCATGTATGTATTTACATTTAAATTTTAAGAGGCGGCATGTAAATATAAGTACAACTTCTACATGAATAATTGTCCTTGTGGCAGATGGAGATAAGCTAATTAAAGGTGGCAGGCTGGTTTGTTGTCATTCCTGCTTCAGATCCCCTCTCTGCTGGCCTCCTGCTGAGCCCAGTGCTTCACCTGCAGGAGACAGGGCTTAGGGCGGCACTGGGAAGAGGAGGGACTGTTTGTGGGTGTGTGCTCTGCCCTTTATCTTTAGTCCTTACAGCAGCCATGAGATGGTCCGTTTATTATCCACTGTTTACCTCTGAGGTGACTACGGCCCAGGGACGTCATTGAACTTGCCTGAGGTCGCAAGTGGCAGTATGGCCACAGCACCTTTGCCAGTCTGATGCCTGCAACTTTGACTGTCACCACCATTCTCAACTCCACATTGCGAAAAGGAGCCCTCAGAAGCTCAGGAGGGAAGGGTACAAATACGGAAACTATTTTGCCACGAGGCATGCATAGTCTGAGGGGCATTTATCTATCCAGACCATCCTCTTTTCATTAGGAATATGTAACGGTGGGGTTAATGCACTCTTTGGCTCTTCAGCCCACAAGGCAGGAGGAAGGGGTTTGGGCAAAGTTTGGGGGCCACATCTGAGTCACAAGAGCTGCCTTAGGCTGTCAGGGATGCTCGTCCCAGTGTGACAAGCTGAAAGTCATCCACGGAGCCCCGTGCTCGGGCGGTGGTCAAGGTCATTCTGCATGCACCCTCCGGGAAGCTTGTTTTCCTGGACCTCGGAAGCTGATCACACAGGGGGCAGCCTGTGGGAGACCCTGGCCTCCCCTCCTCCAGGGCCCTCCAGTGTTTTGTTTGGTTGCTGGGTGGAATCCCTACAGAGAGCCACAGTATAACTCTTGTGGTCAGCATGGAGCGTCTTCAGTAGGAAGCAGGGATAGCAGCTGGACCAGCCTGCCTTTGTCAGCATGCAGGCGGGCTCCTTTGCTGTGACAAAGAGAAGTGCTTTTGGGCCCTTAACGAAAAAGACAAAGAAGCAACCATGATTATACTTTTCCAAGCTGCTAATATGTATATGATAAGGGCAGTGATTTAAATGGAAAAGCAATCCTTTCATGGCAGATTCTTGCAGGCCCAGGTCCTGGCCAGAGCAGGCATCATGTGGGGGAACTAGAGGAAGGGATCAGAAGCAACTCTGGGCGGTGGAATCGCTTTGCTTTGGCCCAGATTGGTATTATTTCTGCTGGGTAAATTGTGAGATCTGGGCCTACACTTCTTCCTCATTGCTCTTGAACTCTCTCTTGAGTTTACCAAGGAGTGTGTTGATTTTGAGATCCTCGTGTGCCTTTCCCAATTTGAGAGCCCTCTGGGCATGTGGTAGCCCCTGTGATCCTTCTCTTGCTGTAAGGGACACGTCATAGAAACCTGGTCAAGTGGAGGTTTCCAGGGCTCCTGGTTTTCATTTAGGGTTATTAGCACTGGGCAGACTTATCTTCTTGGCTTTATAGCATAATGGCCTGCAGATGTCTGTGGAATAACTTAAGCCTGCATCACCACCCCCAGATGGACCACCCCTTCACTCTCCCCCTCGTCGCAGCCACAGCATACACCTTAGAAATGTAGACCCAGGGCAGGCTGCTGCTAGAGTTCTTGGACTTCAGAGCCAAGAGGGTCTGCTTCAAAACATGGCTTTTAAGAAGTGTGCAGACACACAGACATGTTTGTTTAGACAGAGCCTTGTGGGATGTAGGACTCTGCGGGTTAGCGTGAAACATTTCTTTAGTGTTTCCTGCAGTGTTCTTATTTGTACTTTGATGCCTGCACATTTCCTGTTGGATGGCTTAACTGAGGATGGCAGGCAGCCCTCTCTGATCACTTCTAGGAGGGTTATTTGCAGTTATCAGCAGCTGGGGTCAGGGGGCATCCCTGGTGCCTCCATCTGTAGATCCTGTGGAAACTCCCCACTCCCTGCCTTCCTGACTTCTCTGCAGGATGACTCAGTAAAGAGAAGGGTAAGGAAAGAAAGTCAGAGTGAGCCCCTAGATATCTGGGAACCTGGTTCTGTTGTGCTTTGAAAACGAAGCATTTCTCTTATCCTCCACAGGGAGGGCATCAGGAGGTAAGCCTCCCCGAGGGGATCGTGCAGATAAAGGCAGAAGGAGTAGGTCATACCCCAGAAGATGGGACATTTCTGATTCAGGAAGTTCAGTATCTTTGTGAGGAACTGTGTCACAAGAATGTTATGCACAGCTTCAGTGTGCAACAAAGGCTGTTTGTACCACAAATATTGTTGAATCAGTGCTGCCTGTGTGGGCATGTGATGAACTCAATGATGAATGAAAAGTGAGCACAGCCAGGAGTGGTGGCTGAAATCCCAGTTCCCTGGGAGGCTGAGGCAGGTACATAGTTTGAGGCTTGGAGTTTGAGACCAGCCTGGGCAACGTGGTGAGATCCTGTGTGACAAAACATGAAAAAGCTGGGTATACTGAAGCATGCCTGTAGTCCCAGCTACTTGGAGGCTGAGGAGGGAGGATCACTTAGGCCCAGGAGTGGGCTGTGATTGTGCCATTGCATTCTAGCCTGGGCAACAGAGCAAGACTCCATCTCTTAAAAAAAAAAAAAAAAAAGAAAGTTTCATTTTTTTAAAAAAAAGTAAGCATAGATGCAAGTGTGTCTCATGGTGAAGTTGTAAGCTCTGGTTAGTTGAGGGGACTGTCTTTTAGAGGGGAGGGCATCTTCTTCAGCTGAGTTTTTTAGATTTCCTACAGTTTAAGGAGGTTCAGGACCATGGAGTTCTAGATTTACTAGGTAAAACTGTTCACTCCTGTTTGCAAAGCTCCAGAATCTATAGATCTGGTTGGCTGGATGGAGAGGAAGTTTCCACATGGCCATCTTTTCCAGTTAGACATGTTAATTACCTGTCTGTCTAGGGAAAGTCTGTGTAATGTGTACCTCTTAGGAGCGGGGTGTTAAATACTTAGTACATATTTGGGAAGAAAGATAGAAGGTAAATATGTTCTTAGAATTTCAGCCAGCGACACTTGTGTAAAAACAAACAGAACCTCCATTAGGAATGGAAGTTAAACTTTATCCATTTTGAACTTCAACATGTCAAAACATTATCACGGTAGTCTAGGTGGATTTTTTCATTAGTACACAACTTAGACAAATTTTTAAACGATGACATTTGGCCAAGGCAAGTCGTAATAAAGGAGTATGTGGTCTTCAACTGTCTGCGAAAGACTTGCTGATCACATTAGGATTACTTTTTTTTTCTTTCCACAACTTTAAGGCCAAGTGTCCTAGGGAAGCTGGAACAAAGCAGTCACAGTTCTTATTTGTGACTGTGGACCTTTCCTGTGACTCCCTTTCCCTATTATCTGTTTCAGAAACTGTCTGGGCGGAAGATAAATCCAGTGCTCCGGATGTTTGGCCAGTCCATATCGGGAGGGATTGATATGGATGGGAATGGCTATCCTGGTAAGCTGTTTTTCTTTAAGGACACGTGAGATAAATGAAGATAAATGCATGAAGTAGAATAATTTTCAGTCTGGTTAGCAATCATCACATCCATTTAGGATTAGGACAGTTCACACAATAGAATAGGGTGTTTTGCCTGGTGTTCAATTTTAAGGTGAAAATAATGTTGACATTTATTTTGGGGTTTTAAAATGATCTACTCTGAAGGGCTTAGCACCAGGAGGGTGGATTTTTATAGTGGTTTCTGTGGCAGTAATTCTATTGAAGAAAAGCACTGGCCACATCTAAAATTGTGAATAGTGAAACCTCCTGTTTTCCTTTGCACTTAACCATATTCAAAGACTTCTTACTCTTGGAGGGAAAAGGAGCAGCATCCCCCCAACCGTGTCTCTTGCCCTTACTCTTGAAAGAAAATTATTGAGGAAGGTTTGGAGTAAAAAGAAAACCATGTCCTCTTGTGCGTGGACACAAGTAGACTTTCACTATCCGAAGCTGGCTGGCTTGGCTTTGCGGTGAATTAATACCTGTGGTGGTTGTGGCTAACTGGATGAAAGGACACGATTTCAAACCCAACCCCAAGTGATACCTGGCTTAGGTCAAATTGCCTGGGTGGTGGAGTAGTGGTTCTTCAGGTGTTTCTGGATGGAGTGGCGTAAGGTGAGGAAACAACTGTAAGAATTTGGAAACATCCAGAAAGGTCATGGAATTCAGGAAACATTTCTCTGAATTTTGTACACAGCTTTCTTTTGAGAAACATTTCTTTCCACTAAAATTTAAGAAAACGAGTGCAGTCTTATATGAGGACATCACATTTGTGTATTTTTGTATAGATAGAAGTTTTGACATCCCTCAAAACTACAGAGCCAGGAGGAAGAGTGGGAATAGAAAGAAGTCACTGTTGGCCGGGCGCGGTGGCTCACGCCTGTAATCCCAGCACTTTGGGAGGCCGAGGCGGGTGGATCACGAGGTCAAGAGATCGAGACCATCCTGGTCAACATGGTGAAACCCCGTCTCTACTAAAAATACAAAAAATTAGCTGGGCATGGTGGCGCGCGCCTGTAATCCCAGCTACTCGGGAGGCTGAGGCAAGAGAATTGCCTAAACCCAGGAGGCAGAGGTTGCGGTGAGCCGAGATCGTGCCATTGCACTCCAGCCTGGGTGACAAGAGCGAAACTCCGTCTCAAAAAAAAAAGAAGTCACTGTTGAAGCTTTTGTCCCAAGATAGATCCTCGTGGGTCTTTTTAACTTTGAGAAAGCAGTTCTTGTTCTGGGCAATTTGTGGCCACCCCCAAATAGTATCTTATATGGGTTTAGCATTTAATATGTACAAAATGCTTCCATATGCAATGTACATCTCACAGTGACCCCAGCAGGTAAGTAGGATAGGGTGTTTCCCCCATTTTATAGACAAGGATGCTGAGATTCGATGTGAGGGACTGCCCAGAGCCTGCAGGGCACGGGGGACCCAGCCTTCCCAGTGGTTCCGCTGCTTTTCTGTAAATGTGAGGTGAGCAAGGTGTTCACTGTTCACAACAAATCTGAATTTCTCATCTTGTGTTTTTATAAGGAAATTGACACATTTATCAGATTCTTTTATTTTCAAACATACGGCTAATTTAAAAAGACAACTGGAAACAAAATTAATAAATACACCCAAGTGGAGGCATTGTAGGAACACTGTAATTTGTGGATTTGCCTTTTGTTTTTCCTGAATGAGGGCATCATGTAGATGCTCAGTGCATTTAGTGATGTACAGATCGAGACCCTCTTGGACTCAGAAGCTTGGCTCTGTGAAGCAGTAGTGGGAACTCAGGCCAGGGATTTATATCGCCGGGTTGCGGTGGTGGGAGAAAGGCATAGAACCACTGGAAGAGTAAGTACTTCCTAAATTAAAGTTATTTAGGAACAAACATTACCAGTTAAACCAGGGTCTTGGTTTATAGCTTAACAAGTATTTTCATAAATTTTCTGACTTAAATATCTAATTTCATATGTTTTTTTAATATTTACTATAAATCTAGTGAGTTATGTAACATTAATGAATGTTACATAATGACTAATAAATATTTTCTGATTTAAATGTAATGAAATATTGTCAGCTTTTGAAGAAGGTCCAGGGGATAGTTATCTTCATTTTACAGACATACCGTGAGATGCTCGGGTCACATAGAGTCAGGGGTGGAGGGTGATGACTCCATGTACTTCAGAACCTAGAGCATTTTCCAAGGGTCACGTTCTCTAATTCACTGATGTCGAAAGAAGTATAAACCATATGTGTAATCTAAAATATTCCAGTAATTACATAAAAAGATAAAACAATAAATTTTAATAATGTTTTTAGCCCAATATAGCCAACATATCATTTCAACATAAAACCAATATGAAAGTTATTAGTGAGGTCGCTAATGGTTCTCTATACTGGGTCTTTGAAAAGCATAGTGTATTTTATACTTACAGCACCTCTCCACTGAGACCAGCCACGTTTCAAGGCCTCACTAGCCTGTGTAGTTGGCCCCCACGTTGGAGAGTGTGGCTTCCATTCTTACTACATTGTTGTGTAGCCTAGACAGTGGCCATCAGAGGGTTCTCTGGCCTCCAGGCTGGGCCTCCATCCTTGCAGAGTGCCCTTCCAGGGGGCGGCTGGGTAGGGGCTTCGGCAAGTTTCTGAACGCTATAAACTTCTCATTTCAGATGTCACTGTTGGAGCCTTCATGTCCGACAGCGTGGTTCTTCTGAGGTGAGAGGCATCACCCTTGTTCCTTGGATTGTGCTGTTCACAGGGAGGGATGGAGCCATTCGCCATTCATGGGCTCTTCCCTCTGTCCTGTTCCTTGTCGGCTGGAGGTGCTTACTAAGTGGAAATGCTACTTTATTTTCTCATTCTAATTATTCCCTCTCCCAGAGATTCGAGCTGTGGCCTTGAATGGCTTGTAGGTATGAGATGATAGCATCCTGGGAGCTTCTAGGTAGGGATTGGGGTAGCCTAACTCTTAAGCCCTAAAGCTATTTGCCTTTGGCCAAGAACCTTCCATAATGTGCCATACAAAAACTTTATTATTTCCTGTGGGTGCTGGGAAGCACTGTTCATTCTGTCTCTTCATCTGTACACCTGCTTTCTCACCTGTAGTCATTCTGCAGCACCCCAGGGACCGGGAGCCTCCTGCCCATTAGACAGCATGTCATTCCCTGTTGGCAGCAGAGCTGAGAGACGTGAGCTGAGGCCCAGAGCTTGCTGAGGCCCGTGCAGTCTGGATTTTTCCTGCAAAGGCCAGTGGGCCTCCGCCACCATCTGTGAACCCTCTCCAAGTATTTCTAGCTGTATGAGTCAGAGGAGGCAGAGTTACACTTAGGAGTGGGAGCCAATTCTTAGGTTTTGTTAATAACCTGATGGCAGAACTTTCTAAAATAGACTAGTAGAATCTCGGAGCTGGAAGGGATCCCAGAGGCCATGTAGTTCCACAGCCCAGATCCTTATTCAGCAGTATCTTCTGTGGGTCTGCACTGCAGGGCCACACAGCCTCCTGTTGGAGCGAGGTGCCCATGAGTGGGAGCCCAGTTACTTCTAAGGGAACCAGCTTGCCCCGGGAAACGTTAAATCTTGAATTATTGAAGAGGAAGAAGAGCCTTGAGGCTGAGTGGGAACTCAGGGACTGGGTGGCCGGGTTCAAACCCTGACTCTGCCCTAAGTAGGTGACTTTCCTGGGCAAGTCCCCTGACCTTTCTGTTTCAGGATTCTCCTCTGTTGGCCAGGACAGCAATACAGATGCTCCTCGACTTAGGATGGGGTTATTTCCAGATAAACCCATCCTAAGTCAAAATGTATTTTCAACTGAGGACGGTTTTACCCAGATGTAGCTTCATTGTAAGTCGAGTGTGTTGCATTCCTATGGCTTTCGTACGGTTGTCAAGTTGAAAAATCGTAAGTTGAACCATCATAAGTCAGGGACCATCTGCAGTACATGCAAAATGTTCAGGCTGGGCGCAGTGGCTCACGCCTGTAATCCCAGCACTTTGGGAGGCTGAGGCGGGAAGATCACGAGGTCAAGGGACCGAGACCATCCTGGCCAGCATGGTGAAAACCCATCTCTACTAAAATACAAATATTAGCGGGGTATGGTGGTGCACACCGGTAGTCCCAGCTATGCAGGAGGCTGAGGCAGGAGAATTGCTTGAACCCGGTAGGCAGAGGCTGCAGTGAGCTGAGATCACACCACTACACTCTATCCTGGTGACAGAGCAAGGCTCCATCTCAAAAAAAAAAAAAAAAAGTTCAGAACAATGCCTGGTTTAACTGCTTAACAAATGTTAGCAAGTTTTATGTAAATTGGGTTAAATTTGCCTCCCTAAAATTCTGCTTCTCGGGCTTGTGTCTTTTACATAGCAGCCCTCCCGTATCTGAAGGCGGCAATTGAGTACCCTAAGTGGTGACTTCCCTAAGATAAGGCCTCCCTGGTTCCTGTAATTATTTCCCAGGTGACTGGATTTTCACTTTCTTTATCAGCCCTTCCTCTGGGTAACACAGCCTCTGTCTCCAGATGACAGGGTAGATTGTGAAGCCAGTTGCTCTGCTGGGTGCCTTCATGTCTTCTTCGCTCTCTTCCTGATCCTGAGCACCTTACTTTGGCTTGTCAGGATTCTTCTCAAACAAAACACGCTCCTCAACTTTTCACAGTTGAAAACAGGCCCCCTTAAAACCGGGGCCATCTGGCTGGAGGCCCATCATATAGACTCTGCTCTCTCACCCTTCTTGTGTTTTTCAGTCTTTCTGCTGTGAGCTTCAATCCAAAGGGGCTTTTCTTTTTCTCTCCATGGTGAGGGGCAGCCTTCTCCAGGGGTTTGCTCACATATGGATGTGAAGTAAAGCAAGGCAGTTACACAGTGGGTGGGAGACCCCAGCCTCCAGCCTGGGCTGAAGGGTTGAATCTGGTGAGTTGGAGCTCAACAGGGACAAGCATAAAATTCTTCAAGGAGAACCCCAGGGAGAGCGCCTACCAAGAGAAGAGGCCTAGGAGAACCCCAGGGAGAGCGCCTACCAAGAGAAGAGGCCTAGGAGAACCCCAGGGAGAGTGCCTACCAAGAGAAGAGGCCTAGGAGAACCCCAGGGAGAGCGCCTACCAAGAGAAGAGGCCTAGGAGAACCCCAGGGAGAGTGCCTACCAAGAGAAGAGACCTAGGAGAACCCCAGGGAGAGTGCCTACCAAGAGAAGAGACCTAGGAGAACTCCAGGGAGAGTGCCTACCAAGAGAAGAGGCCTAGGAGAACCCCAGGGAGAGCGCCTACCAAGAGAAGAGGCCTAGGAGAACCCCAGGGAGAGCGCCTACCAAGAGAAGAGGCCTAGGAGAACCCCAGGGAGAGTGCCTACCAAGAGAAGAGGCCTAGGAGAACCCCAGGGAGAGTGCCTACCAAGAGAAGAGGCCTAGGAGAACCCCAGGGAGAGCGCCTACCAAGAGAAGAGGCCTAGGAGAACCCCAGGGAGAGTACCTACCAAGAGAAGAGACCTAGGAGAACCCCAGGGAGAGTGCCTACCAAGAGACGAGACCTAGGAGAACTCCAGGGAGAGTGCCTACCAAGAGAAGAGGCCTAGGAGAACCCCAGGGAGAGCGCCTACCAAGAGAAGAGGCCTAGGAGAACCCCAGGGAGAGCGCCTACCAAGAGAAGAGGCCTAGGAGAACCCCAGGGAGAGCGCCTACCAAGAGAAGAGGCCTAGGAGAACCCCAGGGAGAGCGCCTACCAAGAGAAGAGGCCTAGTAGAGAGCCTGGGGAGCCCTGCCCCTAGGGAGAGACCTAGGCGAGAGCCTGGGGAGCCCTGCCCTGAGCAAGAGACCTAGGAGAGAGAATGGGGAGCCCTGCCCTGAGTGAGAGACCTAGGAGAGAGCCTGGGGAGCCCTGCCCTGTGCAAGAGGCCAAGAGAAGGCCCAGGAAGAGCGGTCAGGCCACGGCAGCTGTAGAGGAGCATGTAGGGATGTCGTGGTCCTGGTAATCCATTCTCTTATTCATTTGGCTAAAGTGTATTAACCTTTCGAGATGCAGCCACACATCAGATATGGGGGATTTGATGGGGAACCTGACCTAGCCCCTGACCTTAGATTATAGCTGGGGAGCCATTTGCAAGTGAATAATAATGCAACCAATATGGTAAGCTGCTATAGCATGCCTGGCACGGTGTGAGCTCTTCATGTGTGTTCATTCTTTGTTGTTTTCTTTTTATATTAAGGTAGAATTTGCATACAGTAAAATGCACCAATTTGAGTGTATGGCTCCATGAGTTTTGACCACTGCATATACTGTGTGACTACCACCCACCACGATAAAGAACACTTCTGTCACCGCAGAGTTTCCTTGTGCCTCCGTCGAGTCACACCCCTCTCCTGAGAGACAACTACTGTTCTGACTTGTGTCACCCTAGATGCATCTTGCCCATTCTAGAATTTCACATCGATGGGAATATACAGCATGGACTCTTGTTTCTGGCCTCTTTCAATCAGGGTGTTGCCTTTGAGATTCATTCATGTTGGCGTATTGCTTGTTTTTCCCCTTACTGGGTAGCATTCCTTTGACTGAATATCAGTGAGTTTGTTCATCCAGCCTCTTGTTGACAGAACACATGATAATTCTTAGTCTTCTTAACAATCCATGATGTAAGTGGGGGTGTTATCCCCATTTCATGGGTGAGGAGACCAGGGACATGCAGGGCTTATTAATATAAAAGGGAAGGTGATTCTTGATGGGGGCAGGTGCTGTGAGGATTGTAAGGCAGGGTGGGCTGGGCACGGTGGCTCACGCCTGTAATCCCAACACTTTGGGAGGCCGAGGCGGGTGGATCACGAGGTCAAGAGATCGAGACCATCCTGGTCAACATGGTGAAACCCCGTCTCTACTAAAAATACAAAAAATTAGCTGGGCATGGTGGCGCGTGCCTGTAATCCCAGCTACTCAGGAGGCTGAGGCAGGAGAATTGCCTGAACCCAGGAGGTGGAGGTTGCGGTGAGCCGAGATCGCACCATTGCACTCCAGCCTGGGTAACGAGAGAGAAACTCCGTTTCAAAAAAAAACAGGGTTACTTGGTTGGGCAGTGGTGTCAAGGTCAGCAGAAAGGGCCAAGCAGAGTGAGGCCTGAGACTTGTTGGAGGTGGAGGGGGAGGTCAGGGGTGCCCTTGGCCGTGGTGGCTCTAGAGAAGTGATGGGGCAAAAGCCAGGTGACTGTGGGTGGGTGAAGGAAGAAGCAAGAAAAGACAGTGACTCTTGACTGCCTCTCCAGAAGCTTGGCTGCAAAGGGGCAAATGGGACCAGCAGGTAATTCAGGAGGTGTTTGAAGGATGGGAGGCTCTGGGTCAGTGATTAGGCCAAGAACGTCTTTGAGCCATGTGCTGGTCTCCCAAGTCCCTCACTCTCTTGGAAGAGATTAGAGGTGGTCACTTTCATCTTCACCCTCATCTGTGTGAACCCTGATGCCCTGACCCTATGCCTACCCACAAGGGGCCTGGAGAGGTTGAAGAGACAAGAGGAGGATGGGAGGCTGCTCCAGGGGTCAGGGATGCGGTTGGTGAGAGTGATGGAATCTGCTTCACGGGCTGGGGGTGAGGGGCCCTCATCTTCTGAGCCAGGCCCCAAGATAGGAATAAGGTCAGGGCGAGGTTCCATCTGGTATGCGGATGAGGATGAAACGGGGTACCCACCCTGGTCTATTCCAGGAGGACATGGGAATCAGGGAGAGTGGGGAAGGCTTCAAAGACAAGCTGGAGTTCCTCAGAGATGGAGCAAGGTGGGGCAGGCAAAGGGGTTGCTGAGCAGGTCTGACAGGCCAGCAGGCTGGGTGTCTGCAGGGGCTGCAGTTGATAAAGTCCTGGGATTCAGCTGAGCAGCAGTGAACTAGGAGGCCTGGAGGCATCAGCTGACTACTAAGTAGGGCCCTGGCTTGGCTCGGCCTGGCCTGACAATCAGATTTTGAGTTGCTTTAGGTTTTGGGTGGGACTAGAAAAGCAGGGAGAGCTCGGAGACCACGCACGTGCATGCACACGTAGATATGCACTGCCCATCAGTCCTAACTGTCCTAAGGGCAGGAGGCCAGAGGTATGTGGGCTAGGAATGCCCTGGGCAGCAGCTAAGAGAAAACCTGGCTGAGGCTTTCAATTATATGACCCCAAATTAGCTCCCTGGAGGTAGGTGGCCACAGGGCTGGCTCAGAAGCCTAACAGTGTCACCAGGGGTGAAGGCTCTTTATCTGTCCTTGCCCTGCAGAAGGCCAGGGCACCTTGAACAGCACATCAGAGGGCATCCTCACCGGTTGTATTATTTACCTGGAAGTGAAGTGTCAGGATTTGAACTGCCGGCCGTCAGGGAGAAGTGTTCCAGCTGCCCGCTTCTTTAAAAAGCACTGAAAGCGCTTGCAGTGCTGTCCTTGGGTGCCCCTTTGCTTTATCTCAGAGGCTGGCACATTTGTAGGAGGGATTGGGAGACACAGTCTCTCCTGCCCCCAGGAGTGTGGCTGGCCCCCTCTGCCCTCAGGAAGTTTGCTTCCCTTGGATTAGCTCGGGGGGCAGGACCTGTGTCAGGGTGATAGGCACCTGGTGCTCCGACATGGGAGGTCACAGGAAGTGATCAGAGGGGCCTCTGAAAGATTTCTGGGCTTATCTTCGTCCAGAAACAATACTTGGAGTTGAAACAAAAAGGTTTAATGGAACTGATCTGGCAGCTGTGGGAAGGCGATGTACCTGTGAGGGTCCCTGTGGTCCATTTCAAAGGATACTGTTTTTCCCACTTCCACTGAGGTCACTGTGTCTGCGCTGCCCACGTCTGTTTCCTGCCCGCCACATTGTCTTCTGCAGAACTCTTCTGTGAGAGGAGGACTCGACCTTCTCCCTGACGATGTGGCCCCTGGGGATGTGCACATTTATTATGGGAACGGGAGGATGAATTTACCAGATCCCAGCCCTTTGGGGGTGCTGCAGGCTGGTGGGGCAGGTTTGGAATAGACAGTGACTGTTCTCCTTGGTAAGTGGGGGCCAGAGGCATGTGTACAGAGCTGGAAGCACAGAGTGGGAGGGTGCCCAACTGTCAGGAGTACTAGCGAAGGCTTCCTGGGGTGGGAACTCTTGAGCTGGCTGCTAAAGGCGGGGTTGCCTTTTTTTTTTTTTTTTTTTTGAGACGGAGTCTTGCTCTGTCACCCAGGCTGTAGTGCAGTGGCATGATCTGAGCTCACGGCATCCTTTGCCGCCCAGGTTCAAACAATTCCCCTGCCTCAGTCTCCTGAGTAGCTGGGACTACAGGCACGTATCACTGTGCCCAGCTAATTTTTTTGTATTTTTAGTAGAGATGGAGTTTCACCTTGTTGGCCAGGATGGTCTTGATCTCCTGACCTCATGATCCACCCGCCTCAGCCTCCCAAAGTGCTGGGATTACAGGTGTGAGCCACCGCGCCCGGCCACATTGATAGGGTTTTATAGGGTGTCCATTGGGATCTGCATGATCACACTGGCCAGGGGTAAGTTACCCACTTTTTGATGTATTTCCAGTGTCCTCTAAGGATGAACCCAGAAGAAAATGGAAAGCCTGAGGTGTTGGCCTCCTTTGAGGCACTGTTATTGTCTGACTTCCGTTTGTCCTGCAGCCAGATTTGCTCTGGGGATCCCACAGTTCCACTGCTTCTCTGTTGACCCGATCTCCCGGCATGGTGGCAGCGGGGGCGCCCCCCTCACCCCGTCTGTGCCTCATGTCTCTTCCATGTCCACCCAGATTTCCCTAAGGCTGTGTTCCCTTGGAGTTGGTGTGGGTCATCATTCCCACCCGCCCTATCACCCTGGCTCTGAGGGAGCATTGTACATGAGGGTCATTGTTCTCCAGCCACTAATGCCCATAATCATCTTATTATGCCAACCCAGTGGTGTGAAGGCTGGGGCTCTTTAGAGGTAAAAAGGTCTCCGTGAGGCCTGGAGGGGAGAAGCTTGAGCGGTAGCTTAGGCCAAGGCTTCCTGAGCAGATGTCTGCAGCGGGAGCCTGATTTACTCTTAGTTTTTGTGGAATGGCCTGGGGAGCCCAGGGATGCTGTCTGTTCATCAAGCACTGGGATGGCGCATGGCAGGGAGGAGTGTGTGGATGTTTGTTGAATTTCATTTAGTTCTGCTCTGAAGTACTTTGCTATTACCAGCTGGGACTCCACTAATCAAGTTCTTTTAGAAAAAATCCCCAATGAATTGGTGAAAATAAATGAAGGGGAAGGTTTGACCAACTGGATGGGACTAGCACATTGCAGTTCATGCTTATGGTGGCAGCCAATGCTTCAGGGGATCCCCGAGTATGTATCTATTTCTCAAATCATGGCGTTTGCTATGGGAAATCCTCTTAAATGTATTCTTATCTCCCTAATAAAATGGAAATCATACTTAATTGGTAAAATTTTAAATAATTACCCAACATCTGGTGGTTCGTTTATGGCTTCAACCAGATGTGTTTTATTAACAACAAACTTGCTTTTATTATTGGGAAGCTAACTATTAATTTACCAGGCAATATGCCACTTCTAAAGCCAGAAAAAAATGCTCAGAGAACAAACTAGCCCTTCTCTCTTGGGATATTTCACGCTTTAATGAAATGCTGGGTTGAAGGCCTGGGATTCATCCTGTTGATATAGTTCCTGTTTGGTTCTGAGAGCTGCTCCTTACCACGCCTAAGTCACCTTCCTCTCTTGCCCTGCAGAGCGAGGCCTGTCATTACAGTGGATGTCTCCATCTTCCTCCCGGGCTCCATCAACATCACGGCGCCTCAGTGTCATGACGGACAGCAGCCTGTCAACTGCCTGAACATCACCACCTGCTTCAGTTTCCATGGCAAACACATTCCAGGAGAGATCGGTAATGAGCCACCACGCGAGGCCTCAGGATACACTTTTAGCTGGAGTGGGCTCGTGAGATACTTCAGATGTTCCCTGTCGCTGTTCCTCCCAGCCGGTTTTGCAGGCAGAAGGCACACAGGCTGGACATCCTTTCCCTCGGAGGTTCCTCCCCTTCTCTTTCCTGCTTATCAACACGTTTCTAATTTCTCACAACCTCCAGCTCTAGGACCAATAATGTTGGACCCCGTGCATTCTTTCTTCAAATATTTGAGGGCCAGACTGAAGCCTCATTGGACCACAGGTCCTGTGGGACTGGTGGAGTTATACTGCCTGCAGCCTGGCCCTTACGGAACATTAGAGCAGTTGGAAGGCAGAAGTGATGGGACTTTGGAGGCTCCTCATTGTGCTTGTAGCATCAGCCAGATGTCAGGGGGCTTATACCATTTACTATGGAATTGGAGGCCAAAGACAGACGGTGGGATTGGGACGCTGGTGTTACAGAGGCTTAGGTTTCTAAAAGAGGGGTGCTGCTTTGGCAGCTCAGAACTGAAAAGAGGCAGGCGTTGCCCTGACAGCTGGTAACTGTCCCTGCCATTTGTCTGACTAGGGGAGAATCGACTTGCTAGCCGAGCTCTAAAGACTGGATTAAGCCCTGGAACAAGATAGGGCCAGTGTTGATTAGAATTCAGACCATGTAGTCACCTGAAGGAAATGAGTCTGGAGCTTTATGAAGATTATAGGTGCTTCATTTTTGTTTAAAAGGCTGATTTAATAATAGAAAAACTCCAGGCAAACAAAAACACCAGCAGGGACCTGGACCTACTGACGTTCTTAGATATTTTTAAAGTCATGGGTGACTCCTTTGGCTCCTTACAGTGTAGCCCCTGGCCTAGCAGTGCCAACGTTGCTGGGAGCTTGTCAGAGATGCAGGACTTTGGGCCCTGCTTTGAACTTCTGAATCCGAACCTGCATTTTCACAAGCGCCCCACAAGACTCCTGTGCACATTTGAGAAGTACTGCTCTGGAGCACACGTGTGCACACGCATGCCACTCGTGCCAAAACATTTACATGAGCTAATTCATTCCTCAGCCGCACCTTGAATATTCTACTTTATTTAATATGTCCATCCTTCTTGGCTGTCTCATTGCCAGTTTCTCTTGATCTTCAGGTATATTGAACAAACTCAACAATTAAACATATTTATTTATATATATCGTTTTTGAAAACAAGCTTAAAAATTTCAACATTGAATCAAATGTACACTAAAACGTGGGCATTGGTTAGGGAGGGAGGATTAACAACTTTTCTTGTGTAGCTCAGTGAGCTCTTGTGTAGTTCCCTCAAGATCACACAGCTGTTGTTGAAGCCACGAGTTGAATTTGGATCTTGTGATATTTCTCACCACCTCCCTAATTGTTTAAGATACTGCATTCTTGAGGAAAAATGCTTTCTGATGGTTCTGGGACTCATGTGCCCTCCACATAATTAGGCGATCTGCCTTCTATCCAATGCCAACTGATGATGTAGTTGGACTTGGTTAAAACACATTTTAGGCCGGGCGCGGTGGCTCACGCCTGTAATCCCAGCACTTTGGGAGGCCGAGGCGGGTGGATCACGAGGTCAAGAGATCGAGACCATCCTGGTCAACATGGTGAAACCCCGTCTCTACTAAAAATGCAAAAAATGACCTGGGCGTGGTGGTGTGTGCCTGTAATCCCAGCTACTCGGGAGGCTGAGGCAGGAGAATTGCCTGAACCCAGGAGGCGGAGGTTCTGGTGAGCTGAGATCGCGCCATTGCACTCCAGCCTGGGTAACAAGAGCGAAACTCCATCTAAAAAAAAAAAAAATTTTTTTTTAAAAGAATGAAGATTCAGTTTGATACACATGAAAACTATTCTAGAACTCTCAAAAAGGGCAAACACAGAAACTTAAAAGGAGATGACACTGGAGATGACAGTCCTGCCCTCATGGAGCTTCTAAAGGGAGTGACAAAGAGTTTCTGCCATTTTGGCCTTCAAGCAATGTTACATAGCTTTCACTTACCAGTGTTGTGAAAGCGAAGGTAAATGGGTTTAGCTGGAGCAGAGGAGAAGGAGCCGAGATGAAAGAGCAGAAGTGATTCAGAACCTGAGACAAGTGATGGAGCAGACTCTGATTTGAAGTTTCATGAGCTGAGCGCAGCGGAGATGTGAGTGCCTCCTCGTGCTGTTTCTGACCAGTGGCCCTTTCTGGGGCCCCATTTCGCATGAGCCTTTCACAGACTGCTAAGCACAATTAGATTGAAGGTCTAGGCTCAGCCATAGCCCTAGAAGTGTTGGGGTAGAGTGGAAGAGGCAGGCGGTTGGATGGGATCTTGTACGGTACCTCATGGGCAATGTGGAGCAACGGGCTGATCTCTGACATTAGGTGGGGTGGGGCCCGTTCAGCACCAGTGCACCCTCCCATTAACTTCCCTTTTCTAGCTTCCATCTGCCACATGGACTCATAGATAAAGTCAAACATCCCTTTACACTCTGGGGTGTGTTTCCCCTGCAATCAGGCTTAAAGGGAGAATTTTGATATCTCAATATAACAAGGCAATGTAGAAAATCATTCATCCTCAACATTTTTCTGTCACTTTCTCTGGCATTCATAGCTCAATGTTTGCAGTAGAGAGAAATGCAGAAATCTGCCAAAAACTATGCTGGCAGTGAAATAGAGCATTTGGGGAGGAAAATGGGCAGGCCTTATAAAATGTGACGGGAAATGAGGTGGGGGTGAAAGGTCGGGTAGCAGTGGGGGGTCCAGCTCTGGGTGGGGTATCCTAGAGTTCAGTAAGGAAGGCAGCCTCTTGGCTCTGCACAGTTGGGAGGGTCAGGTCTCCAGTGTTCAGATGGAGGAAGCATGGGCACCTCCAGGACACAGGTGCCCTCCAGGCTCAGCAGAGAGTGCTGGCCAACTCTGTCATCTCCCAGGCCTTCACATCAGGAACCCACGGCTGGGACTCTGGGTTACCAGCCTTCCTACTCTCTGTGCTGGCAGCTGCAGAGGAACCATGTGGATGATGACTTTGTCCATGGAATGCCTGGTGAATGAGTGCCAGCCCTGGGCGGGCCTTCCAGGCACCTCTCAATGTCTGCATATCCTGGGCTCAGTTTGTTAACAGGATGACTGCATTTGGGCAAAGCAATACACAGATACCCGTAGAGGGCTAGGCACCGCTGTTCAGAGGCGGTATCTTCTGTGGCATCTGCCGGCATCTTCGGCCACGTGACCTGCTGTCTGAGGACGGTTTTGAGAGCCATAAGCAGTTGATGTTAGTCTTGTGCCTTTGGTGTCTTCTTCTCTACCTGGCAGAGCTCAAGCCTGTGTACAGAGAAGGGACACCAATGGCCTCTTCATTTCCTGCTTTAGAAATGGGAGACCACAGTGCCTGCTAGATCATGGGGTTACTCAGGACCAGCTCATTTGCAGGACACAGTTGCTGTGGCCCCTGGAAGTACTGTAGGAACACAGACTGTCTCTGTAGGTGGTGAATCTGCCTTCGCCTCTGAAATAGGCAGTCTTGTCAGGAAAACAGACACTGGACCATTTATTTAACAGAGGAAATTTAGCACTGGGAATGGGTTAACCAGGTCATGGAGGACCGGGTAGTAACTGCAAGAAGCAGCTGCCGCCTCCAGGTCTGCACCCGTGGATCTCAAAGTGTGGTCCCAGTCCAGCTGCATCAGCATCACCTGAGATCTCGTTAGAAATGCAGATTCTGACCAGGTGGGGTCCAGCATCTGGGTTTTTACAAGCCTCCAGGTGGGTTCGATTTGAGAACCACTGGTCAAGATTATACACGGGGTTAACTACTTCCTTGGAGTTATCAGAACCTGTGAGCTTGGAGAAGGGGCCCTGTGGAGCTGGGACCTGAACCTCTGAGGAGGGGGCTGTTGCTGCTGAGGTCTCTGAGGGGTTGCAATGAGGCTGGCTCTAGGAGAATGGGTGCGGGGGAAACTAGAATTAATCCTGTTGGGACCAGCTGTCATGAGAAATGGTCGCTGGGATAAGCTGCTAAGGACAGGAAGCAGGGAGGAAGGAGCGAGTCCTTTCACCCTCCTCCAGTCTTGCAGGCTCCCTCCGATGCTCCATATTGGCAGAGCCTCACAGGGAGCCTCTGGCAAAACAAATAAGGTTTGCAGGGTCCCAGCTCCAGTGTCACAGTGCAGAGTACAGAAGGTTGGGTTGGAGCAGAGGACAACAGCTTCATAACCCAGCACAGCAAGCATCCAGTGACACTGAGTTGCTGAAGTCCCTGTTGGGTCATTCCAGCAAATAAATAATTAAGGTCCTACAGGGTGCCAGGTACCCTGCTTAGCCTGGGGCACGGAGCAGTGAGCAGACAGGCAAAGTCCTTGCGCTCCCTCATAGAGCTTGCATTCTAGTGGGAGGGGGCAGGCAGGCAGGGCAAAAACAACCAGCTGCTCTCTTGCTCGTTCCTGTAGATGAGCTCTGGGTGCCTTGTGTGGCAGGCACTGTGCTTAGCACCGGGACGCGGACACAGACTTCTCACCCCAACTGTGGGCTCCTCCAGGACAGGTTTCCAACATGTTCCATAAAGCACTTTAAGACAGGACTTCTGCCTGTCCCTAATAGTATTATGAATCACTTCATTCTTGGCCTGGGAAACAGCCTGTGGCTCCTTGGAACCTCCTGGCTAGCATAGGTGAAGGTGGTGAATGCTTTGCCCAAGGGGACCCTGCCCCTCACCCATGGGCGATGCTTGTACCTGCTCACTGGCCAGGCTGAAGCCTAAACTTGCTTGTCAATCTCAGGAGGCTGGGAATCCAGCTGGCGGTTCTGGGCTCTCACCAGAGTGCGGTAGGAAAACCCGGAAGGGGCGCGTTCTGAGCGATTGCATTTTGCACTCTGACCCAGTGCTCCTGTGTTTCCACGGTTCTCAGCCTGAAGAAGCTGTGAGCAAGTGGAATACCTACCCTGCCTCCAGACACGCAACTGAGCCCAGGTCCTGAGAGATGGCACTAAGGTCATCCACACTAACAGCAGAAATAGGGTTGAAACCAGGTGACTCGTTCCTGGAGCCTTTTTCTGTCTTCAGGGGTGCATTTTTGCTTGAGAGTATTTGCGCACACAGAGTGTTCTCTGAGCTCCTTCTGGTCTCTTGAGTAGCATGGAAATGGGATAATGAGGCAAATCCATGAGAGGTGAGGAACGGGTAGCCTGGTCTAATAATTACTACCTCATTCCTTTTCGGGACAGAATTGAGGAACGCTAGTGAAGTTTCCCCTGAGAAACTAAGGGAAGCTCAGAGTAACTCTGGAAGGAGAATTTCTTAGAATTTCACAGCTGAAATCTTGTTCTGATGGAGAGCAGGAATTAATCAAAACTCGCTGGGAGAGACCGGAGCCAGAGTTGATGAGAGACAGCTGGCTCCTCCCGGCCCAGGCCCGTGCAGGGGGCCCCTCGGGAAGCAGCTGGGGGCAGGGCAGGGAGGCGGCTGAAAGTATGACTCGGGCTGATCAGCTTTTCCATCACCATGACATCATTCGACATGGCAAGGACACAAGCTGCCAGAAGGAAAAACCTAAAGATGTGAAATGTGCTGTTGGAGCAGGCCCTAATCAGAACCAGCACCCTCCCAGGGACAGAGAGGGCTGGCCAGGCTGGCTTGCATCAGGGCTGGCTGCGGGCAGCTCAGACAGCCTGATGCACCCACCTTCCCAGGGCCCTGACTGAGGAACCCTGCCAGCTGATCGGCTGCTTCCCGACATGACCTCTGTTTTTAGAGGCTTCCTTTCCACCACTCTTGGGGTGTGTGCTGGTAAAACCACCAGTTATGCTCAGGGCTTTGGAATGAATGGTCTGCGTTTCTTCTTGCCTCCTCACTCAGGAAGGGTTTCTCATTGCGACTCTTGCTTTTTTCTACACAAGAGAGTCTGATACAGAGCTAACTTCCTTTGGGGTAATTCAAAATGTCAAAATTTAAATCAAGGAAAAGTACCAAGTAGGCAGTTCTGGAGATGAAATGCTTCCAGAATGATTGCACTTGGTGAGTTGGATAATTCGGTGTGTCTGTGATTGTATGTTTTAACATTTTAGAGAAATTCAAAAGGTTAATGTGCTGACATGCACACACCCCACTGGAGTGGAGCAGCTTTTGCCTTGTCCTCAGTTTGGTTTCTGTGAACTGTGGGGGGTTTTCCCTCTCTTGAGATGCAGGAGGGCTGCGTACCAGACCAGCACTTCTGCCGTGAAATGAAACTTTGGAGGACTGAAGTTGGTGTTTGTAAGTTACCGAGCACAGTGCTTGGCACACATTGCAGGTTGAATTTGTTCACTTTTCCTGACTTACCCTGTGTTAATATGGGCTCTCCCCAAAACAGCGCCTGGGTCAAGGATCCAAGTGCACGTGGTTGATAGACAAATGATCCCAAGAAGTACCAGTAAGGAAATGGGACAGTGAGACAGGAGAGGAAGGCAGCTACCATCCTCAGGGTTCTCCGGAGAAACAGAATGGAGAGAGAAAGAAGTGGATTCATTGGTTGATTTTTAGGAATTGGCTTAAGAGATCGTGAGGTCTGGGAAGTCTGAATTCTTCAGGGCAAGCCATAGGTTGGAGACCCAGGAAAGAGTTGCTATTACAGCTCAAGCCAGTCTAAAAGCAGAGTTTCTTCTTTTGGAGACCTTAGTCTATTTCTCTTAAAGCCTTCAACTGATTTGATGAGACTTGCCCACATTTTGGAGGGTCATCTGCTTTATTCATAGTCCACTGATTAAAATGTTAATCTCATCTAAAAAAATACCTTCCCAGTGACATCTAGATTGGTGCTTGACCACATTCTGGATACTGTGGCTCAGGCAAGTTGACATAAAATTAACCATCAGAGCAGCCAAATAGAAGGTGTATGACTGAGCAGGTTGCCACTTTGGGCAGCTGGGACTCAGTCCTGCTGGGGAATCCTGGACGTCAGTGTAGACCATGCCCTAGAGTTACCCACCCCCAAGGGGCAAGGGAGCTGAGGCCCTGCCTTATGGAGGGCTGCTCTGGGGGCTTGGACAGAGCCACTAGAGAAAGCCCTTGGGAGAAGAGGTGCAGGTACTGGCAGTTGCAGCTTGGGCTGGACAGCAGAGAAATGGCAAAAGCCAAGCGGATATGGGTGGGGGAGCAATACCATCCGTCCTGCCTTCCTGTGTTCCTTTCCACCCAGGTTTTCTCTGAGCTCAGCTAGTTCATCTCTGGCAAAATAGCCCAGTACTGCTGTTTTCTTCATTGTCCCCCTTCCTGAGGGAAGGCAGCCATGGTTCTTTGGCCTGGGAAGGAGGCTGGTCAGCAGCTGCGCCCAGCACATGGGTTCACCCAGCTGTGGCCTCTGTCTTGTCTTCCAGCAATGTGCATCTCTAGCCATGACCTTGCTTAAGCAAACTTGGAAATGCACTTCATTTAAATTTCGCCTTTCTTACTGCTGGGCAGTTGTTCAGGGAAGTGGTGATCGGTAGGAAGTAGATTGGCCAGAGTTCAGTTCTAGAGCTCTGCACTTGTTTGGACCTGCTATCCGTGCATTCAAAGCAATGGGGAGGTTTTGGTCAAGTCATGTAAAACATGCAGCAAGAACAAGTGTGGCGGGAATAGCCTGGCACGAGAGGATGCGGGTCCTCGGTTCAGCTCTTCGGTGGGTGGCTCTCTGGCCTGGAGCAAGTCTTATTCCCTTGTGGGGCCTCAGTTCTCTCATCTTAAAACATGAAGGTTTTTGAGCTAAGTGGTCTCTAGGATTGCCTCAAAGCTTTGCCAGTCTGAGTCTGTCCCTTTTCTTGCTGTTGTTCCCAAGGGAACTGATGTGTGACACTTGGACAGGCGCCAGTGTTTTCTGTGTGGGAGCACTTTCCTGTATGTATTATTTTCTTCTTAATAATGGCACCTCCTGAGAGTATCCAGGTCTTAGGTCTTGTGTCACCTTCTGGTGACACAGCCTTGCCTTGTAAGTCAGTTGTTTGCTGGCGTTAAACAAGTTGGGGCAGATGGCTCTGCTGACTAGGAATTTGTCAGCTCAGCGTGGCAAGATCCCTGAGATGGCAGAGGCCCAGGGAGGCCATTAGAAGCTTCAAAAATATGCCCTGTGGCAGGTGCACAATGCCCATTCAGGCCACCTCCCCTGGGTCCTCCCCGGTGGCTGATCCCTTTGATGTCATTAAAAGCCAGAGCCTTCCCTAATGCCTGACTTCAGTTACTTAAATGCCAGTGGGCACAGGGCTGCCGGTTACTGATTCTGAGAGACAGGTGTGTGGAGACAGGCTGGGACGGGGTCATCTGCCTTCTGCTGCTCAGCATCTCGCCTGGTCATTCCAGGGTCAGAGATTCTGTTCTCTCACTTTAAAAATGGTGTATTTTCCTGGATCCCCAAAACAGTTAAAAAATAAAAAGTGTTATGTAAGGGATGAACTCTGACACAGAAAAGCAGCAAAATAGGTGTATTGACACCAAAGTCATATTTTCCTAATGAAATATATAGCAATCTATTTACTTATTGACTCTGAAATAGCAGAGGTGGGCCCTTCCAGGTTTATCCAGCATGCATCTGATACTGAGTTCATCTTTTTTCTTTGTTTCTTTCTTTTTTTTTTTTTTTAATTCAAGGCTGTGTTACAGAAGTTCTGCCATCGGCATTACACATTCAGGTATGGGGTGTGCGTTATTCTTTGCAGGAGAGGACCTCAGTACAGGCCGCACTGTGGTCACAGTTTTGTTGAAAGGATATGCACCACAAACTGTTGGATCACCACACTCCACTACCTGGGAATAAAGGCAACTCCGGCCTTCTCTGGGTTCCCGTGCGTGTGAATTTCATGAAGGCAGGAGTTGATGCCTGCGTTGTTCATCGATACATCCCCTGTACCTTCGGCAGTGCCTGGATTATAGTCAGTGCTGAGTCGGCCATAGAGAGCCCATGGTCCACTCCATGTAGTGGTTATAGAGCACGACTCAGCTTTGCTGAGATGAGTTAGAATTATCAGACGAGATGGTTCCCTTGTGTTGGACGTAAACCACGTGCTTTACAGAAATCAGTATTACACAAAGCCTTGGTAATTTCAGCAGCTTCTGGTAACGTTCTGTAGGTTTGTCGTGATGTTTGCTTGTCAGGACACTGACCTGTGTGGGGTACAACTCATTGTTGATGCACATGTTGCTTGCTCAGCTGATACCTCGTGATGACATGAGGTTTGAATCAGGGCGAGCCATGAGGCATGACACACGAGAGTTATTAGAAAGGCCGAGGACATCCTGGTTCACTCTCAATTCTTTGGGCACCCTGGCTGTGCGCTGCTCTCTGAGCAAGTCCTAGCTTGGGGCTACAGTCCCCTGCCACCGAAGGGTGGGTATGGTATGAAATGTGCATGTGATTCCATGACAAAGAAAGGAGGTGGCCTTGTCACAGCATGTCTGTCACCTGTCTTTGCTGATATTTTGACCTCTCATTTATTGGCAGGCCTGAATTATGTTCTGACAGCTGATGTGGTCACAAAGGAGAAGGGCCAGGTGCCCCGGGTCTACTTTGTGCTACTGGGAGAGACCGTGGGTCAGGTCACAGAGAAGCTGCAGCTCACTTACATGGAGGAGACGTGTCATCACTATGTGGCCCATGTGAAGGTCAGTCCTCTCCTTTTTATCCTCTAACTTTGGTCTCTGCAGATTTTCATTTGGAGCTGGTGGGAACTTTTTTTGTGCATTGTGTGTGCTCTTCTAAACTTTTATTTCACAGGGAGGAGCATATTCATTTCTGTTTTTCTTTTAAAGTTGGTCTCTGACAGCCCTTTTATGTATCTTACTGTGTTGATTTCAGCCTCTAATGGGGATTGTGGTGGTCTAGGAGACCAGCGATGATCCCTGATTTTGACTCTTTCTTCTGAGAGGTTTCTTATCCTCTCCTCTCTATGAGCCTCAGTAGTCTTTCCAGAGGAGAGCCTTGGAAGCACAGGTCTCTGGGTCTGCAGTGATGCTGGATCATACTGCACCTGATGCCTTTCTCAGTGCTCTATTAGAGATTACATCATGGTCACAGCTAAGGCATTTTAAAACTGGTTGGACTAGATTTTTCCCCCTTGACTACTTTCTGTTTATTTTAGGAATGCATTTTTTGGCAACCTTTCCCCTTGCACTCTAAATAAACTTGCAAATGTTTTTCTCCTCTTGAAATTGTTTGTTAAATACACTTTGCTGCTAATTCAGGAGGCCAGGCTTTGATTAGCTACAGAGTGGCCCCTGCAGGCAGGCGGTGGCAGGGTGGAAGTGCTGGCAGTGCCTGATGCTGCAGGAATGGCCAGACACTGAGCCATGGGCAGGGTCAGAGAGCGGAGGAGGTGGAAGAATGCACTTAATGCAGGCCACATGGTGGGTGGAAAGAGCGTGGGTTTTGGAGACACAGATCCAGTGTGTATTCCAGCTGGATGAGTATTGTGACCTCTCTCGGTCTCAGTCTCTGCATCTCTAAAATGGACACAGTAATCCTTACCTTGAAAGGTGGTCATCAGGATTAAATATTATACGATGAATTTACTTAAAAGACTTTGGTTGATGTCTGATGAATAGAAAGCAACCAAATTATTATTATTATGTTGGGCTGTGTATAACCGCCAATATTCTTTTTGACTTACAAAAATGGAAATTTCATATAGCTCAACCTAATATTATTTATTGGCCACTGGATTTCTGACTGATAGTTTGAAAAGTCTACAGATTGGAGATGAAGTGTCCTCCTGTTAGTGCCAGAGCAGAAGAATAACAGCTGCTTCTAGATGCTTCAGGGTTGTATATAGAGAAGTGCCCCACACACCCATGGCACTTGCCCTGGCCCAGAGCCCATGAGTCCATGCCCCTCAGATGCTTTTCAGTGGGGCTGGGCTGTGTCTTCTGCCAGGACTCCTGCAGAGGCCTGCCCAGACCAGCTGCCCAAGGGCTTGGGGTGCTGGCCATTTATAAAGCTGCTCCTGAGCCTGTTAAGCTCTACACCCCTGCCCCTCAGTCTTAGATTACACTGGTTTGTTGGTGCCTTTGGTGGGGTGTGAGGCTGCTCAGGACGGGCTCGTATGGAAACACTGTCAGGCCTCTGACTGCCTGTGCTTGGTGTTTTTATACCTGCTGTGGACAGGGCACTACTCTTGGGCTTCCTAATGCCGGGTCTGTTCCACAAAAGCTTTCCCTCAGGTTTCTTTGCAACTTCTCACTTTGGCAGAGAAGTTACCCTTTGTTCCTCGTTACCAAGGATACTGCCTACGAGCTGCCACGTGGAGCCTGCAGGCCTTTGCAGAGTACACTCAGGGAGTGGCAACAGTGAGGTGCAGACCAGCAGCTGTTTCAGTGGTGGCCCCTGAGGGTTGCTGGGGAGGAGCAGGGCCATACAAGGGGGTGGTCCTGCTACTTCCTGATATCTAGGCTTGCCAGACTTGCAAGTGAAACTGTAGAACTCCTAATTAAATCTCAATTTCAGATCAACGATGAATACTTTTTTTAGTGTATGTCTCAAATATTTCATGAGAAATATTTATTCTAAAAACATTTTGTTGTTTATCTGAAATTTAAATTTAACTTGGTGTCCTGTTGGCAGATTCAACTCTACTTATATTCCTCTACCTAACAAGCGGCATTTCTCCGCTGAAGCCAGACCCAGCCAACAAGAAGGGGGATGCAGATGATGGTTAGGAGAGCTGGGAGGTGGAGTTCAGGGCTCTCGAGTGCAGATCCAGCACAGACCTTGATGTGATTATTTTGGTGATTCTAGGGAGAGCAAAAGAGCAGGCCTGCTTTAGTGAATCGGAACCTAGAGTCATTTGGATATGGTGATTGCTTGGCCATTTTCTCCTGCAAGGAGGTGAGAGCAGAGAAATACACCAGATAGACACTCAAGGTGGCTGACACTTTCTAGCCATGAGAATGTTTATTTCTGCCACTTACCGTCTGGGCTGTCGCAGAGGACTGGGTGAATGGCAGAGTGCACCTGTAGGATGAGTGCTCATGGCCCGGCTAGCTGTCCACAGGGGAGGCAGCAGCCACCACTGCTGACTTGCTAGCTGTGGGAAAACTGCCATGGAAGCTGAGGCAGGAAGCAACGATTGGGGGAAGGGAAGGGGCGGCTGGGCTGCCTCCTGGAGCAGGGCCTGGGGCCTGGGGAGTGTTGGTCAGGGCCCCGGAGCAGAAGGCAGTCTCTGCTGCAAGGGGAGCTTTCTCAGTGGAGCCGGCTCTCGGCTTTATGGACAAGTCAGAGAAGGTAAATCAAAGCGTTCTGGCTTATCACACGCCATATGGCTGGCAGACACTGGGGCCGGCATCGGCCGGGCCTGCTTTGTTTAGGCTGTCTTTAGGCATTCTTTTCTTCTTTTCTTTAAGCCTATTCCAAGCTTTTTTTTTCTCCGTCTCCTTTTCCCTGGAAATTTTCTTTCCATATATGGTGATAAGTGACTTTATCATGGAAGACCGCGTGGGCTAACACCTGCTTTCCAGCCTGTCTCGTACCCGCCTTTCTTCCATTCGCCGTCTTGGGGGGCGCCTCCGGCGTGTGTAGGATTTTGTGATGAGCCGTATCCTCCTGGCGGGGCGCGAGCAGGTAGGTTCTCAGGGCCTCACTGTGGTCAGCAGAGCTGAGGCCGCTCCCGCCACTTCCTTGGGTTCTCTGCCTCAGCGTCCACACACCCCAGCTTATCGTCCCCCTTCCCCCAGCCCAGCCCAGTTTTGGCGATGGGGCCCCTCCCACTAGTCAGCCAGGCTGGAGGCTTCTGGAGGATCTCGCGGTCACAGGTGAAAGCCCAACACCTGCGCTCAGCATCAGGCTCTCCAGGCCTGGCCCGAGCCTGCCTTTGTAGACCCGTCTTCTGCCAGCACGTCCCCGGTGCCCCAGCTCTCGTCATGATCTGCCCCTTTCCTCCTGGAACCTGCTCCTCATGCTTCCTTGCCTCAGTTCTTATGTTCACAGAAGTCAGGGCCTGGTTTGTGTCATATTCGTGTAGAACCACACACCACCTGCGTGATTTTCACTTTTTTTATTTTTGGTCTTAAACTCCTACTTCCTGCAGTATCTTCTTTCGTATTTTCTCTTTAAATCAGCCAACTTTTGGTCTCAAAATAATTTAAAACAGAAACTTTGTACCTTTCTATAAGCAGAAAACCATCTAACATGGGCGCAAAACAAAGTAACTGTAAAAATAAGTCTATTGAAGACACAACGGTGTCCTAGAATTCTAGCTGGATTTCACAGTGTCAAAGTCACTGATAAAACGCCCACTCCATTCGTGTGTTAGAAACGGAAATTAGCAAGTTCTAGGGCAGGCTTAAGGACATACTGACGCCACGCTGGAACTTTCTTCCGGATGCATCTGGAAGGACTGAGGGGAGTTGACCGGGGAACAGCTTTTCAAATCCGAGTGTTTTTCACGGCGTCATGCCCGTGTGCCATGGAGATCCACCTGTGGGCCCCATGTGGGAAGCCCTGGCCATGCTCCGCTTTGATCGGATGTGCCTTGCCCCATCCTGCCTGCTGAACGCTTGCTGTTTTTCAAGGCTCAGTCCACAGGCTTTGGGCATCCTCAGTGCCAGCTACTGTCCTAGGCCCTGGGGGTGCCACTGTCATCTTCCTGACTTCTTGGAGCTTGTTCCATGCTGCCTGACTCCTGCTTTGGGATACTTGTCAGGTGGAACCTTGTTGGAGTGACGAATTGAGTAAGCTGGAGTGTGGGGGTCACAAAGGCTTCTGATACGGAGTGGGGCCTGCTCGCCTCTCTCTGGACTGACTGCTGGGAAGTGATGGCCTGAGACGGGGGAGAACAGAGTTTTGGATGCATGGCCTGTGCTGAAGAATAAATGCAGGTGTCCTGTTGCTACTCCATTGTTTTCTGGTTTACGTGTTCTTACCTGGATCACAGCTGTGCTGCATCTTCTGATCCTGCACAGTACCTTGAGAGCACAGGCCTTTTGTGAGATCAAAGCTTATGCATGACAAGCAAATAAGCAGGCTCTTCAGGACCTGGGAAGCCATGGCGACATTCTGAGTCTGATGCAGGGACGGCAGAGGAGCCCTGGCAGTGTGGGGGCAGTGATGCCCTTCCCTGCTGTGAGGCTCCGTGACACCCTCTAGAAGCATTCGGGGAACTCTTTTTGAACAGAACCATGCGTCAGACACTGGCAGGAAAGCCAGTAGTGGGATTATTGTTAAAAACAGAGCACAATAATCTGCACTGGACAAGGGAAGGCGCACACTGGCTTTTCTGAGAAGCTGCAGATGTTCATGACATTGTTCTTTTATGTTCCCGAAGGGTTTCTCCAGGAACCTTGAAACCTACGTTACTGCAGCTCCTTCCTTGCTTTTGTGGACAGATGCTCATCCTGGCCTGGCGAAGGGTGGGACATGACCCTGGCCGCCAGAGGCCACGGCCTGGGCTCTGCACGGGTGTTTTGGCCTCTTTCCACGTTCACATCCAACAAAATGCCTGGGGACGATGGCTTCAGTCACATGCCATGCTGAGTTTAGAGTGCTGGCTGCTGGCTTTCAGAGGTGATCAAGGCTCTTTTAACTTAAGAAGCACATAGTTAAGAAAGGGAGATTAACTTGGAGTTTATAAGAACTCTGAGAAAGAGGAGAAGAAAGAAAAACAGCAAAAGTT